AACACTATTTCACCACACATATTTTTTGATTTTTACCCCAGTATAGTCGACAAAGACGTAGTTCTACGTCAAAAATGTAAGAGGTTGTATCCAAGACACGACCGTAGAACAGCATACCGGACGCTACCTACATTTACACTTTTTGAGAATTCGACAAGATTTTTTTTTTGCGTAATTCTCTTAATAGTAGGGGCTTAAAATTTGCATCAAAAGTCATAAAGATAGGTACCGTCTGGCATGCTCAGTGCTCGGTATCAATATTCGGTAACTGTGTTTGGCAAACTACTTTTCCGATCACGGAAATGCCTCGTTTTCTGATGACAAAATTAGGTATTTTCGTGTACAAAACGCACGAAATTGTTCGTTTATTCAATAGATAATAAAAAAGCGAAAATTGGTAGGAGGAATTTCTCCAATCACGATATATTCGCGATTTTCGAGATTTTTTGATTTTTCTAGCGTCCTGGAGAAAACCTTACGAAGTGTTTCTGGTTAAATGACATGGTCATGTGGTACTCGATCATTGCGAGAATTTATGTGTACCACTTCAATACTTTTTTTTTATAATCCATTTATTTGTCAAGGCTCAAATGCGTTAGCTTTGCGGAGCCGAATATTTTTTACATGATTGTGTTTACATACTGGTGATTTTTACAGAGTGAATATCATTTCTTACAACTAATGTTAGTAGAACGGGGGCCGATTACTCGCGGCTTACTCGAGATTAGGGATTACATTTATTGATCATTTGGAGAGAGGACAAGGGAAAGCATTTTGAACTAATTTAAAACTTAAACGTGAAGGATGACTAAAACACAAAACATTAAACACATACATCAACAGCTTTAAAAAAGTCGTAAATAAGCTTCATAAAGTCGATATCACGGCAAGCCAAGACGTCTCTAATTGGCTTAAAGGATTGTTTTCCTCGGACCCTAAGGGAATCACACAGAACTGATCTCCCCCCATGATGCAAGGAGCAGGACCAAACAACATGCTCGATGTCGTGATAACCGTTTCCACAGGTACACAAGTTGCTGTCGGCAAGCGTAATACGGAAGAGGTGGGCGTTTAACGAACAATGATTAGACATGAGCCTGGACATTACACGAATAAAATGACGACTCATATCCAAGCCTTTGAACCAGGGTTTGATCGACACCTGTGGGACAATAGAATGTAGTCATCTTCCCAGATCACCATCATTCCACTTTTGTTGCCAGTTGGCGAGGACTTGCTGACGAGAAATCGTGAAAAAATCGTGGTAGGCGATTTGTCGCTCGTAAATATCGCCTTCCATAGCGCCCACCTTGGCCAGCGAGTCCGCTTTCTCATTGCCCGGGATAGAGCAACGAGAAGGGACCCATACCAAGGTGATGATATGCGAGCTGTTTGATAAAGCACTCAATGACGATCGTATTTCCTGGAGGAAATACGCCGAGTGCTTCATCGGCCTCATTGAACGCATAGCCTCCAGGGAGAGGTGGAAGTGAGGCAATACGCTCTAACGTGTACGATATAGCTGCTAGTTCAGCAACGTATACCGAACACGGCTTTTGAAGCTTGTATGAGGCGCTATGAAATATAATACGTGGAATACTCCAAAACCAGTAGACGCATTTATCACCGACCCATCTGTGAAAAATCTCTTCTCGGTGGGGACGTGGCGGTTTTTGTTCGCAAAAATAGTTGGGACAATCAAGGAACGGTGAGGCTCTGGAATTCCTTGAATCTCCTGCCTCATTGTGAGATCGAATCTCATGGAAGAACAACTGAAATTATGGGAGACAGCGCGATTGGGGTTGAACGAGGAGGGGGCGATGTCCAAAGTCATGTACTTGTAGTACAAGCTCATGAATCATGTTTGAGGATTCCGCTCTAGCAGCTTCTCAAAGTTTTCGATCACCAGCGGGTTCATGACTTCACAGCGGATGAGGAACCGGAACAATAAATCCGCAAAACGATTTGTTAAGGGGAGGACGCCCGCAAGAACTTCAAGACTCATGGTATGCGTCGATTGCATACAACCTAGCGCGATTCGAATGCAACGATAGTGAATCCTTTGGAGCTTCAATATGTGCGTCCCCGCCGCCGATTGAAAGCAAAAGCTACCGTACTCCAAAATCGAGAGAATGGTGGTCTTGTAGAGTCTTATCAGATCTTCCGGATGGGCTCCCCATGAAGTGCCGGTAATGGAACGAAGGAAATTGATTCGCTGTTGGCATCTCTGCCTCAGATACGCTATGTGTTTTCCCCAAGTGCACTTGGAATCGAACCAGACACCTAAATACTTAAACGACATGCTGTGAGTGATTGTTCTACCCATAAGTTGAAGCTGAAACTGTGCTGGATAAAGCTTCCTAGAAAAAACAACCATCTCTGTTTTCTCCGGAGAGAATTCGATACCCAGATTCATTGCCCAAGTAGACAAATTATCCAAGGTATCTTGCAATGGTCCTTGCAGGTCCGGTGCTGTTGGTCCAACCATGGAAACCACGCCGTCATCTGCAAGCTGCCTTAGTGTGCAATTTTCGGCCAGACATTCATCAATGTCTTTGACATAGAAGTTGTACAGGAGGGGACTTAAACATGAGCCTTGTGGAAGACCCATGTAGCTGATTCGTGCAATTTCCGTGTTGCCATGAGAGAAGCTCATTCGTTTCTCGGACAACAAATTAAACAGGAAATTGTTGATAATCGGAGAAAGCCCACTCGCATGGAGTTTTTCCGAAAGGATGTCGATGCAAATAGAATCAAACGCCCCTTTAATGTCCAAGAAAACTGAACCCATCTGCTGTTTTTCAGCATAGGCTAATTGGATTTCAGTTGAAAGCAACGCAAGGCAGTCGTTCGTCCCTTTGCCCCTACGGAATCCAAATTGCGTATCTGAGAGTAAGCCATTCGCCTCGACCCACTTGTCCAGACGAAGAAGAATCATTTTTTCTAACAGCTTCCGAATACACGACAGCATCGTGATGGGACGGTACGAATTATGATCCGGCGCGGGTTTACCGGGCTTCTGGATGGCGATAACTCTCACTTGTCTCCAATCATCCGGAACAACGTTGAGCTCCAGGAATCGATTGAACAAGTTCAACAATCGTCTCTTTGTGACGTCTGGGAGGTTCTTGAGCAGGTTGATATTGATTCGATCCATTCCCGGAGCCGAGTTATTGCATTCTATTGAGAATTCTACCATCGAAAACGGGGAGTCCATGTCATCGTTTTCCAGCGGCGGATCGCGAGTGTTGCATCGAACCGGAACCGAATCGGGACAAACCTTACGCGCGAAGTCGAAAATCCACTTGTTAGAGTACTCCTTTTCCTCGTTGACCGACGATGCCGCGTTACGCTGCCGCGTTACGCATTCTTCTGCCGACATTCCAGAGCATTTGCATGGAATTCTCCACTTCAATACATGACGCATTTGACAACAAACGTTTTGTTCCTGGGTTGGGTACAGTATCAAAGAGCTTTGGGGATGATGTGGCTGGCAGCAAGGCGAGCGAACTTTAAATGAAAATTAACTATTAAACAACAATAATTTATGGTGATCCTGAAAAGGGCTGTTTTGTCGTGATGGTTGAGTAACGCTGAGCTATTGGGGTGTTCAACACGGATGAGGCTGACGAGCTGTATGTTGTATGGAACTTAGATGGCATACATGGCCCATAATGACTCACGAAGAGCTACTGATTGCGGTGTGGCTTCTTCGGGGAATGGACGGTCATGTGGGCTGCTGCTGTTGATGACGACCGGACACCACCACTCACCACACGCGGTGTTTGAATAAGCACCGTTCAGTGAGACCGAATCGTATTCGATTCTGAAATCTGTGTTCGGGAAAGCGCTGTTTGCAGGCAATCGGTGATAATTTTGGTCGCTATTGCAACAGTGTAATTTTCAATAGTGACCTATTGAAAATTAATGAGGTGTTCAATTTAGCAGATTCGTAGCAAAATTTCTAATCGATTGGTTCGCGAGAGCATTTCTCGAATAATATTTCAATAGGTCCTATCTACTTTGATCTATTCCTGCCACGAAGTTTGATAAAGCAAACTCAAAATAATTTTCACTTCCATGCTACGTGAAAACATACGTAGATTTTTTCCATCATACTTTTCACGTAAGAACTATATGATTCTCATGTAGGGGCACTCATTTCATGAAGCTTAAACATCACATAGATTTCATAGTGGTTTCTTATACCATTATTTTTACTGCTATTTGCTGTTTTGTTTTCTTAATTTTAATGCTTATTACAACAAAATTCATGAAACTTCTTTATTCGCCTTAGAGCGTTCAATTTATTATAAACAAAAGAAAAACAACATTGCTATAAAACCCAATCAGGAACTCGATATTTGGTTAACGTGCCTCCATGGGACGATTGCACTTCCCGGCTTTATGGTAGCTTTGCCTTTGAAGAGAATCGATCAACGCAGATACGGACCTGTTGAAATGTTTATCTAGACTTATGAACATTTATGCTTGGATGGAAGATACTTTTGCAAAAATGGCGAAAACAAACATCCACTGTGGGAATCCAACCCACACCTCCCAGTTTTCTAAATGGGCACTCTACCACTATGATTCATTGAATACACTTTGGTGACTTTATCTAGAGATCTATCCAGTCTTATTTTGATCCTTTATTTATTCCGCTACTGGAACTACGGTCAATTTTCCCTTTTTTAAATTTTTAAATTCAGCATAACAAATTCTATTCATAACTCATAACTCCATAACTGGCATAACTCCATCTATTCATGTTAAAAATTCGATTCGTTTAGAAAAATTGGTATGCCACACGTTACTTTGTTGCAAAAACTGTGTTTGGAATCGCGTCTTTGATGTATTTAGAGAACCTACATTTGTACCTACACCTAGTATTTTGTATAAATTGGAATTTGGTTTTAGTCAAATGTATAAGTATTTGCGATACCAAGTATTTAATCTCATGAAATTAATGTTATTTGTGTTCTCCTTAACTTTTCCAGACCGCCTCCAAAATATCCGCGCCGAGCGGCTCCGGTCGAACCCCCCGTGATTCCTGCTTCAGCCATGCAAAATCTACGCAGGGACCAATCCTCCGATGGAACTCCGGACAGTCCGGGCAGTTCTCTGGAACGAAACATCAAGCCATCGGAAATCTACCGGCAAAAGTCGTCGGACTCGTTGGACGTCAAACTGGGTTCGCGATCTTCCAAAGCAGCCATCGAACTGGCGGAAGAGTTCGGCAAGAAACTACCAAAGTCCGATAGTCTCAAGTCAAAAGCATCCAGCACCGAGAGTCCGACGGGATCGTTGGGAAAGAACGTTGGAGTATCACCCACCGGAAGCCTGGGCAAGTTGGCTCACACCACAGGAAGCAGCGATAGTCCTACGGGAAGCTTGGACAAAATGAGCCATCGGGCAACCGATAGTTTGCAGTCAGTTGGCTCGAAAGAGTCGCTCGCCTCGGGTGGCGGTGGAACTGGTGCTATTTCGGAGAGGGTAAGTGAAATGATTACTAAACTTCAAGAATTTCAACAATTCAAATCTCATTTCCTTGCAGATTAAAAGCTACGAATCCATTTCTTCGCTCAGTTCGGACAGTATGCGAGTGGGACCGGGAGGTATTGGTACAGCGCAAGCTGAACAGGAACACTATTACGATACGGTCCCACTGGAAAATGGTGATGGGGATTATGTGTACATTCAGGCCGGTGGCACTGGCACCGGGTCTACATCTAGTCGAGATGATATCTCAACGGCAGGTAGCACACTACCTTTGCCGGCATCACATCCACGAAGTCACAACAGTAGTCAAACGAGCGTGCAGCTAGAACCAGAATCTCCAGGACGAAGTTCCAACTATGTCAATATTGACTACTTTATCCAGTAAGTGCTCTGCATTATTCTGCTTCTTAGATACTGATTTCTTTTTCTAACAAGTTCCATTTGTGCGGAAAGCGGTCAGAACCACGAGAACCGCAGCAGTTCAATCGATAGTGATGGTGAGGCTGATGGTGGCCCACCAGTACTGTTGCGTGCAATCTCCAATGAGACAGATTCTGGTCAACCAGGATTTGGAATATTTCGAAAGATTTCCGTAAGTGCATACGATTCCATTCAGAAACATCACACCGCAATTTCTCCTATGTATTTTTCAGAACGCTAATCGCAACACAATCATCCGGCACATCGTAACCAGTATTATTACCAGCGAGACGCTATATGTAGAGTGTTTGAACAAAATGAAGCAATACATGAAGGCGATACGGGCCACCTTGACTACGTCGCAACCTGTGATATCTGAAGAGGAATTTCAGACGATATTTTTTAAGATCGAAGACCTGCACGAAGTGCACTCTGAATTTCTGAACGAGCTGAGGATAAAACAGCAACCGCTCCCAGACGGTGACGAACTTTGCGTCGGTGAAGTGTTCCGACGGCTGGCAAGTAATATACACCTTTACGGGGCATTCCTGCATAACTATGGTCGTGCAATCGACACGGTTAAAAAGTGCAGTACCCACAGTCAGCAATTTAAGGAGATCGTCTCCAATATAGTATTCAAGAACCAAAACGAACAATCGCTCTCACTTGAAGAGCTACTTCACAAACCAGTTGCTCGGGTACAGAAAAATGCTTTGGTATTGGAGGATTTGCTCAACCAAACGCCAGAACAGCATCCCGATTACCATTCGCTACGGCAAGCATCTAAGACTATTCGAACCTTCCTGTCCGAGTTTAATGTAGTGCAAACCAAATCAATGTTTCCGGTAATGTCTGATGATTTTTCAAATTATTAATTAGGAATTAAATCGATAATGTAAATTTCAGAGTGACGACAAGGCCCTTCGCCGTTTAGTGAAAAACTCATTTATCGTCGAACTAGCAGACGGCCACAGGAAGTTGCGGCATCTGTTCCTGTTCAACGATGTCATCGCTTGTGCCAAATATAAAGCAGCCGGACGGGATCGGAATGGTTTCGAGTTTGAACTGAAGTGGTTCATCCCGCTGAAAGACATCGTCATTTGCGAAGAATCCGTCAATGACCCGAAGGAAGCCAGTCCCATCAATATCGTTCATCTGAAGTCGCAAGCCTGCACGGTGCGCGATCAAATCATGTTCGATGAGAAGGACGAGAAGAAGCAACGATCGAGCGGATCGAGAGCCGGTGATAAGCATAGGAAAAAGCTTGCCGATTTGGAAGCCCAGCTGGTACTGGCATCGCCGAATTTGGTTTTCAAGATCGGGAACAAGGCAACCGGCAAGACGATGACGTTCTTCCTCAGTTCGGACTTTGAGCGGACGCAGTGGATAGAATCGATTCTCACCCTACAGGTGAGTGATTTTATAATATTGGATCTACACCCACTGACTGGAATCGATCAAACTTTACCCTCTACGAATTCCATGAAACTTTGCATAATTGTTCGCTAGGGGCAATATAATGTTTCGGAGTATCCTATGTTTTTTTCAATAAATCCTAGCACGAAAACGGCTCCTCAACTAATCAAAATGACGAGTGTTACAGTAGGTGATTGTAGGAAACTGGATTGCGTTTTCAGAAGAAAAAAAAAATACACACTGATAAAAAAAAATCACAAATTTTGGTAAAACATGAAAATACTGTTAAAAACTTCGATAGCAATAAATTGCAGTTTTAAGCTTTTCAAACTTATTTTTATTTGAAAGCTTATCAAAAATGCCAACTTTTCTGATATTGGACATAAAAATCGTTGAAGGTCAACTTTTAGTAAATGTTTTGAACTTTTTTGCGGAACACAATAATTGTAGCTTAGGGTATTTCCGTTAAGGGCCTGTTCATAAACTACGTAGATAGTTTTTTTGGGATTATTGACCCCCCCCCCCCTCCCCCTGCGTAGACAATTGTCCATACAAAAAAAAAATAAAATTGGTATGGGTCGTGGATAATTGTCAACACATCCCCCCCCCCCCCATAAACTGTCTACGTAGTTTATGGACAGCCCCTGATATAGTATATAGTTTTTATATAGTAGGGGAAATGTTGGCTTCGGCAATACCTTATACCCTGGACAGACTATGGCTTATATCATGTAATATAAGCTATCTTGCAATGAGCACTCATACATCTAGTTTTCACTGGAAATCCTATGTATGAGTGCTCATTGCAAGACAGTCTATATTACATGATATAAGCCATAGTCTGTCCAGGGTATTAACCTATTATGGTCAGGGGGTAAACAACGTCCTTCAGAGCTCAATTTTGGCATTTGGATACATTGTGTTTCAGAACATCTATTGACCAAATTTGAGTGCTCTAGGACTTTGTTTACCCCCTGACGATAATAGGTTAAGTATTGCCAAAGCCAACATTTCCCCTATGTGTTACATGTTTTACAAACATATTAAAAAACAATTTTCGTGTTTTTCGCCTGTTTGAAAAAGCACTTAAACCATCACTTATGAAATGTATTTCCGATATTGCCATCCAAATTCAATGTTTATTCTTATTGCTTATGATGTTTTCTGATTATATACTCATTCAATGTTTCATATTTAAAGATCTAAATTGTTTGAGTTTCACCCATTTTTTTTTCTACATTCATCGAGCAATATCAAAGTAACCTCAAATCGAGGTGCCGGTGGTGTAGTGGTAAGCGTGATTACCTCTCACCCCAGCAGGCCTTCCCAGTCGGCGCCGCCGGGATGTTCTGAGGCATAACATCTCTGATCACGCCTTCCTTCGGATGGGAAGTAAAGCCGTTGGTCCCCGGTTCATGAGTTGATGGGTCGATAGGTAGGGTCCAGGTGTGGGAGCTGCCTTCCTGGCACGTCGGTAGCATTGGTGCTCAGCACGGAAAACAAGATCGACAGAAAAAACAAACCAAAGGAAAAAAAACCTCAAATCAAAAAACTGAAGTTCGGTCAGAAAACTAAAAAATAGTGCAAATGCTTTAATTTCCGTTAAACATATTACTAACGAATTGACTCTTAGATCCTCAGTATTTGTTTTAAAAATATAAAATTTGAAAAACATTCATTGCTGTAAAAAATATTTAGAATATACTTTAAAAACCTATTAATTTTACCCCGTTTTACGGTATTTGTTTCTCACAAATGAATACTTACTACTTATTTTTGTAGTTGTAATCTATATATATATAAATGAATTTCTGTCTGTCTGTCTGTATGACCCTTATAGACTCGGAAACTACTGAACCGATCGGGGTTTTTGGGGCCGGGAAAGGTTCTTATGATGTATCGAGACCCTCCCCCTGGTACTCCCATACAAATGAAACAGAAACTTCTGCATAACTCGAGAACTAATCAAGCAAATGGAACCAAATTTGGCATGTGGATGTTATAGGGTAGCCCCTTAGATAAGAGAGGAGGGAGGTTCTACGTACAATAGAGCATGCTTTTTTTTAACGCCACCTAAACTCAAGCTACACACCAAATTTAAATCGCTGAAAATCAGCAAAATTTCGCTGATTTTAGACTTGATGAAAGATCAGCAAACGTTTTAGCATAATAATGCTGCTGAATTTTTCAGCAATTCCAACTTCTGTCAAAATGACAACCTTTTACTGAAAATCAGCAATATTTCTTTACTGATCTTTCAGCAATTCAAAATTCTGACATTTGGTAGCCTTTTGCAGATTCAACTATTAAATTCAGTCAATTGAATTTATTTTCACTATATGAGCTTCCAGCTTCTGTAAAAGATCGTTGATACAAATATACGAATAATAAAGATAAAATCGCCAGACTCTTTTTCAAGTATCATTTATTAAATATAACCAGTGTCCGAGCCAGTGTCCTTACCTAGGTCCATAATTTTATTGTTTACCTCTTCCTTCTCCTGCGGTTTGACCGGTGGTGTACGAATGCAAAAAATACCTACTTGCGACTGTGATGCTAACAGTTTGACAGCTCTTTGATTGGGTGTTAGTTTATGTTAGCTGATTTTTTCGGTAAAAAATATCGTATGCTATTTTGCAGTAAAGCATTGGATTGGTGATTATGATCCAGCAATTCGTTCTACTGATAATGAAAACTTAAATTTGGTGTGTAATATTGAATCCCGAGCAAGGTCGGGCACACTCAGCTACTTACTCATAAATGGGTAAAATTTTAATCATTTAATGGGTAGTCACAGTTTCCCTCGAAAATGCTTACTTTTTAGTCATTATAGGGTATTTTGCGGTTACCGTTAAGTCAAATTGGTCGAATTCTAGCACATACTTGGTTTATTGCTAATAGCGAACAATTACAGTAGCTCCGCGCTAATAATGGAGCTTTTTTTTACATTGTTAGGTTGATAACATTGATTTGTATGGATTTGATAGTCGGTGTATGAGATCAACCCCGCTTTTTCGAATTAGTGGGGGGATACTGTATGCAAAGTTTCTAGAAATTCTGAGAGGCAAAATCTGAAATTCTTTTATTTTTTCGCTACTTGGCGTAGATTTACCGTGCCCATTGACCCGGGATGGGCAAGAAGATCTTTGTCGTTTAAGTTGTTTTTATTTATTTGAAAAATTTCTTGAAGTTTCTTTGTGATTTACCACTTTCTCGTATCGTTGTGTCATTCTAAAATTCAGCTAAAATTTTACTCGAGATTTCCGTAACATTGTTTCTAAAATTTCGCATGACTTTGTGTTATAATTTTCTTAGCATTCCTCCTAATTTTATTTCGTTCCGTCGATATCTAGTTTCTTTGAAATTTCAAGCCACAGAAGCCAGAAAATACGGGAAAGATTTGAAATTTTGGACAGGACAGACATCTTGAAACTACATATAAAAAGGAATAGTTGCTGCTTTATTTGCAAAATCAGTTTTCTAGTTTGCGTTTTCAAAATATAGCAAGTCAAGAGCAAGATTACTAACGACCATATTTGAAATTTGAATTTATTAATATTTTAGGTTTTGTTAAATCAAAGTCGTTTAAAGATGTGCAAACACCAATACCCAAATGCGGGTAGGTGGTGGGAGGGGCTCATGCACTTCTCTTTAGCTCAGCCGGTTGGCGTTGCTAGTTAGCTGATCATAAAGTCTGTTCCATTTAGAATTTGGCCGCACAAAATAGGTCATTTCTCCAAGGGGAAATAAAGTACAAAAACGCTAAAGGTATCATTTTGTAGTTTTTTTATTCAGCTTTAAGGGAAAAATACAACAAAAATTATTCGTCAGCTTTTCTTTCGGATGAATTTTTGAACTTTTCGCGGAATACCTCTCATCATGTCTTGCACAGTAGTACTGTCAACCTCATCTACCATCCTTTTCAACCACTTCTCCAAATCAGATGGTGTTTTGATTGTTTTGCCACATTTCTTCAATTTGTGCTTGATGATTGCCCAAAATTTTTCAATGGGACGAAAATCTGGACAATTTGGTGGATTGATTCTTTTCTCAATAAAATCGACATTATTCTGCTTATAACATTCTATGACATCGGGCTGTAATGGCAGCTGGCCAGAACTTTACGGGACCTTTGTATGATTGAATGAACGGCAAAATTATGTTCTGGAGACACTCCTCCTTGTAAAGTTGTCCATTCATAGTCGCTCCAGTGATGAAAACCTTTGTTTTCTTTCCGCAACTGCAGATGCCTTGCCAAATCATTAACTTGCGAGCGAATTTATCTGCAAAGACAAATTTGAATTTATCCAGAGCATCCCCCTTACGTTTAACAAAGTAAAAATTTTGGCCCGGGATTTGTCCAAAGCCCGTTTTTACGTAAGTTTCATCAAGTTTTCAAACAAGTATATGAATCCTGATGAAATTTTCACTACTAAATAAACAATCCTTCCAGATCAAAACGCTGTCAATAGTATCTTGCTACGACAACTAGAGGAGCTACAGTAATCAAAAAGAAGCGGCAAAATACTAACTGGAACAGACTTTATCTCCACTTTCACTGCAGCGTTGCCATTACTTTGTACTAAAATTCTGCAGACGGCATTCCATGTGTTCTCATTTCTACACATTTCCTGTACGGCATTTTCCATGTTGATGATGACTCTGCTAACAGTAGGCAACTCCCTTCGCACTGCATCAAATCTAGTCGAAGACCACGTACATCTGAATTGATCGAGTTGTGGAAGGTTACCTGGTTAGATGCAGTTTCATGGTCTTGTTGTAGAGCACCGCAATCAGTCGTACACCGGATGATTCTGAAAACTTTTAGGTCATCGGCGTACATGAGCCGGTGCGATTGTAACTGGTGACACAGATCGTCAACGAAGAAAACCAACATTAACGGACCAAGGTGGCTGCCTTGCGGTTACTTCCTGAACACACGAATCCAAGCTTAACGTATCCAGATCTTCCGTAGAGATAGGAGCATAACCAATCCACAAGCTAACCAGGAAATCCTAATCTTTCCAACTTTTTTAGCATTAACTCGTGCGGTACCTTGTCGAACGCTTAAGAAAAATGAATGTAGATACTGTCAACCTGGCTTCGGTCTTCAAGACTAACATTTAGTGTGCTAACGTACGACATAAGGTTTGTGATGGTTGAACGGTTCCTCACAAATCCATGCTGGAATTTGGAAATGACAGGCAGTGCGCAGCTGCATAGATTTTGTCGTGATTCATCGATTCCAAGATCTTCGAGATGCAGCATAGAATTTAAATAGAACGATAATTTTCCACGCCGTGAGTGCTACCAGATTTGTGTATCGACTTTACCGCAGCCCGTTTCCAGGCATCAGGAAAGACTCCCTCCGAGAGAGAAAGGTTCAATAAACAGCTAACAGGCTTAGCGAGCACATTGGTACATTGTTTGACAAACGAAGGAGGATGCTTGTCTGGTCCAGGGCCCGTAGGGATCATGCACTTATTACGTAAGATTTAAAAAAAAAATTTCTTACGTTTTCTTACAAGCAGGCAGGGAATCTCAGAAATACCGTCTGCGTGATAATGTTTGCACCATCGTACAACTAAGTGTAATGATCGGTCAAATGTCTGAACCCTTTGAGAGATTTTGCGGTAATAACGGAAAGAGAGAAAACGATAAGTGAGGCGATAAGTGATGTTCAGGAGAATGTATAAATGAAATAAACACTGTGCTGAATAGATCAGTTGGACTTGATACATACTGGAGTCAACACTTATATTTCTATTGTGGAAGAATCTCTACCCAAACGGAAACACATCAATAGCGACGAGTGGAAAATCTAAAAAAAATAGTTAGTTAAAAAAGTGAAGTAGTGAGGAAAGAAAAACTTTATTCTTGCAGCGGCGTTTGGAAGCGTGCGTGAAAAGAGCCGTGAAGCAAGAAGAAATTTGTGTTTTAGTGTGACGGTTGCTTATGATTGTCAGTGAGCGAAACAGAAGGTGATAATTAGCAGCTGGCACGTGTGAATACGGTGAAAAAAAAAAGTATTAAAAGCTTGTACAGTTTGTACAGAAAGTATTCGAAGCCGTCATTTTGAAAAATAGATGGCTCATGGTCTATGAAAAGAACCGTGGCCATTGTAATTCCAATTGTTCCACTTGGTCCGCCATTTCAATAGCGCAGGAGTGAGAAGCAAGACGTAGAGTGAAAAAGCTGATTTTCTTTGCTGGGTTTGGAATATAGCAGCCTAAAATTGGTGAGCCCGCGAAGGTATAAAAAAAAGTAAGCAGTTAATCATATTGAACTGAGTGAGTGCAAATTGGCAGAGAAAAATTACAGCGAGAACATTTCAAAGAGTGATTTACGGTGGATAAGAAATTAACGTACGTCGAAGGGTTACGATTTGCCCGAAGAAAAAAGTGTATTGGCGGAGATCACGGTGAGAGAAGAGAGAAACAGAAAATACATGCACGGTGGTAAGAGTAACGCTGCTGGACTTCTGGTGGAATAGTGAACCAGAGTAAGAGAAGAGCAGAGAGTTTATTGCACGGTAGCAGAGAGTTTCGTAACGCCGACGGAACAACCGACGCTGCTGGGTGAAACAAGTGTAACAATAAAAGAGAGTAAGATTCTGCAGATCAAGTAAGTCATTTCCTGTTTTTTTATTGCGTTTTTGTTGTAGGGTGTTTGCCATTATATACGTACTATTTGCGCCAGCATGTCTGCCTTAATTGGAGCCGTTGACCACTATGTGCGTGGTTCTAGTTTCGCTAGTTATATGAAAAGAATGGATATCTTGTACCAATTGAATAATATTGCGGACAACAACAAAAAAAATCTGTTTATTGCTTTGAGTGGTCCGGTTATTTTTGATGAACTGGAACTTATTTATCCGGGGCTGGACATTTCAGCCATGGTATACAACGATATGATCAGTAAACTAAAGGAAAGGTTGGACAAAGTGCAACCTAATATGATGCACAGACATAAGTTTAATGGGCGTTTGCAGGGAGTTGACGAACCGGCTGAAAATTATGTTTTAGCCCTAAAATTATTAGCAAGTCATTGTGGGTTCGGAGCGCATAAAGATGAAGCCATAAAAGATAAAATTGTTTTTGGATTGAGGGACCAGGAGCTGAAGCATAAGTTGTTGATGAGAGATGATATGACGCTGGAAGAGGTAGAACAGATGGTAATTCGGAGTGAGTTGGCTAAGTTCCGTGCAATGGAGTTGATGGAGCGAAATGAAGACCCAAGGGAGGTTAATTCGGTTAAATACAGATTAGGAAATGAAAGGCAGTGGAAAGGTATGGACAGAAGAGGTAGATCTGTATCGCGTGGTTACGATAGGCGATATCGCAGCAGAAGCAGGAGCACAAGCAGGAATCGTGAGCGTGTACATTTCGGTAGCAATCGATATGATCGTCGACATTATTATGAGGACCAACCGAGAACCAGTTATTCGAATCATTATAGAAATGAGAACCCTCACGTAAACGTAATTTGTAATTTTTGCAAAAAGAAAGGTCACGTAAAGCGTAATTGCTACAGATTAAATAATCGTAAATCGGTCAACTTTGTAGAAGAAGCGCCGGTAGAAATAGATAGCTATGATTTTAAAAGGTTACAGATAAAAGATTCGGAGGAAGAAGATGATTATCCATGTATGATGATAGCGAGCAGTCGTTTCAGCAAACCGTGTCTTGTAGAGGTACAAGTAGAAGGAATTAATCTGAATATGGAAATAGACTGTGGTGCAGCAGTCACGGTTATCAGCTTGGAGACCTACAGAAAGTATTTTAAAAACATCGAAGCTACAATTTGCAGCAGCCGCTTAGTTGTCGTGAATGGGCAACAGCTGAAAATCTTTGGCGATGTTTTTGCGAACAATGTTCAGCATCAAGTAACTTTGATAATACTTGATTGCTCGAGGAGTTTTGTTCCGTTGTTCGGCAGAAATTGGCTGGATGCTTTTTATCCTAGTTGGAGGAGTACATTTGGAAATGTGATCAGTATCAACACATTAAAAAAAACTGAACGAAATTTGGAGCAAAAGCATGCATTGGGGTTTGAAGCTGACCTTGTGCTTAGAGAGGAAAGGCCAATATTTCGTAAAGCATATGATGTGCCATTCAAATTACGGGAAAAAGTTATTGAACATCTGGATTCTTTAGAGAAGCAAAATGTGATTTCCCCAATTCAGGCACAATTGTAACGCTCATCGGAATCAGCTAAGGATTGTCGACACCCGGCCGAGTAGTACGACGTTTCAAGTGCCAATACAGCGGAAAAAACGGCTTAGAGAACTCGATGATTCCGACGAGGAGTTTCTCGGATTTCCGGATGTACCAATAAATACCGATTTTGGAAGCAGAGGATTAAAACAAGCGAGACGTAGCCCCATTGCAACGCGAAGCTTTACGCGGTCGAAGAAAAATGCTGAATCAACTATGGAAGGCCAGTAGCAAGATCAGTAGCATTGTTTTCAGTAGTAAATTATCAATGAGTCCTGGGATTTGCTACAAGAAAAACAAGAAGAAAAATATCAGGTTCAAAACTTTAAGAAAATGCATGGAAATGATTGAGTATATGTTTAGATTCAATTCGATTATGTAAAGTAGTGACGATTTATTGAAATGCTTTATTCTGAATTCTGATACAAGTTAGATTAGTTAAATCAGTTCATGTAAATTCATGAGTTCGAAATTAAATAGTTTTTTTTTTGTTTATGAATTAATGTTTGTTCTAAAGGAGGAAGGATTGTAATGATCGGTCAAATGTCTGAACCCTTTGAGAGATTTTGCGGTAATAACGGAAAGAGAGAAAACGATAAGTGAGGCGATAAGTGATGTTCAGGAGAATGTATAAATGAAATAAACACTGTGCTGAATAGATCAGTTGGACTTGATACATACTGGAGTCAACACTTATATTTCTATTGTGGAAGAATCTCTACCCAAACGGAAACACATCACTAAGGTTCCCGTTTCACCTGTGCATACAATGCCTTGGTTTTCTTTGCATGCACGTAACCTATAGCTCATACCGTAGTAGGCTGTGTATAAAAGAAAATGATTTACTTATGTCGTTTTCGTTTTTGCGGTGTAGCACTGGTGTAGTGTAAGCAGGAATAAGTGCGAGTCTTTGACAGCTCAACATTATTTGTTTGTAAACAAAGGTGCATCCTATATCTACACCCTAAAATATTTCGGTGTACGGCAGTGTAGCACCGGTGTAGCTACACCACAAAAACGAAAACGACATTAGTTTGACAGTTGCACCATGACGAAGTGGCAGCGTATTCGGCACGATGGCCCACGGGCAAATGTCGCAAAAAGACATTTCAATCGCCGTGGGAGTGTCCCGGTGGACCGTCAAAAGGGTTTGTAGACCGAGAAAAGAAAGGACAACTATCCGCGAAGGTGGCCACAGGTCGTCCAAGGTCAGCTCGGGTTCCGAGGGTTATCGCTGCTATCAAAAGGAAGATTCGGGTGAGTCCAGTGCTTTCAATAAGGAAAATGGCAAAGGAATGCGGGATCAGTGACTTTACGGCACGGAAGATCGTAAAGGAAGATTGCGGGGCGAAGTCGAGGGCACCGAAAAAAAAACTCACATGATTATCAACCACATCCGGGAGCTACGAGTCGAACGATGCAAGAAAATCTTGAACTTCCTTAAGCGAAAAAATCCGGTAATCCTGTTCACCGACAAGAGCATGTTTACCGTCGATCCCGTATCAAATTCCAGAACCGACCGGTATATTAGTTCTCTTTCGGTAAAAGACGTGGCCGACGAGCACAAGAACGTGTATTTGACCAAGCATCCTGCTAGCGTTATGGTGTTTGGATTAGTGGCTTCCGATAGCAAAAAAATGGACCCGGTGTTCATTCCAGAAGGCGACAAGGTCGCATCGGGATGGGGGACTACATCGGGATTTTAAGTAAGTATGTTCTTCCGTGGATCAAAGAACATTACGGTCGGAAGCCAAATGTTGTATTTCAACAAGATGGGACTCCGTGCCACACCTCGAACCGCATTCAGAAGTGGTTGCAGGAACATCTTCCGTTCTGAGCGAAGAATATGTAGCCGCCATCCAACCCCGATCTTAATCCGCTGAATTACTCAATATGGCGCGTCATGAAGGCCAAAGGCCTGTTCTAAACGCCATCCGAGTACAGCAAGCCTCAGACAAACATTGACCCGTACCTGGAGAGAAATGGATCCAGATTACATTATTAGAACCTTCCGTGCATTCCGGAAACGTGTGGAGGCCATAATTGCAGCAAATGGAAACTCGATCAATGATTAACATAGTTTAAGGCTCTGAGATTGGGGGATTTAAATAAATAAAAAACTCGAAAACGAAATTTTTGAAATTTTTTTAATTTTGACATTGCTTAATGGTGAGAACATTATCACGCATACGGTACCTTACGAAATCATGAAGAGTACAGAACACGTTAGATCTTATTAAGAGGGAGTTGGGGTAGAAAAATCCCAAGAAATCATACGTGATATGTGCATGGTCGCTTAAACGAACCGATAGAGCTCAGAGCGTTTTCAACGTCTGCTATTGAGAAATAGGCCTTTATGAGTTAATTGTGTACGATTGTAAGCTTTCCACAAGATTAGGGAAAACAGGTGGAGAATCCGAAGAATAAACGCTTTGGAAAAGGCAGCAAATAATTTTGCAGATAACGTCACCAAACGACAGCGTACAGAGTTGGACACTCCCCTCGTCTTTATGAAGTTCTAAAAGATGAAGGATTGGCTTTCACTTCATCCTGGATTCGAGATACATACTAAAGGAATGAAGAGGAAACACTAGCGTTGTATTCAGTATTGATCCTTTGGAGGAAATTACTGTTTGATGGAGTTCTGTGGCGGAAAAACTGACGACAAGCTTTCCAAAGAACATTCCGGCGGTGTCTTAAATCAGCATTCCACCATACTTGTCTATAAGACCGGAGCAAAAAAACTCTGCTCTGGAGTTTCTCGACTAATTGATTCGAAAATCTCGTTGTAAAAAACTAAGACTGCTAGGTTAACGTTGGCTCCGTTGAACAGATTTTCCCAGTTTTTCGAGCTTAATTTGTCACAAACAGCGTTCTAATCGCAGCGGTTGAAATCAAAGTCCCGTTCTGTAGCTGTTGATGAACGACGATCATCACGTATGTCTAATCGTAGGACGAACGCATTATGATGGCGATGATAAAATGCTTGAAGGAGCTTTAATCACTTCCACCAAGGCACGAAGATCAAGCCTATTTTCGTTGACGTTATGCATGTCACAGATTTGTTGAAGTCCGCTGGTTACCAAGCTTTCAGCTAACGCAAGATCCTGCTCAGAGGAACCGTTCTTGGGCAAGTAACCCTCGATGTCTTCGTCGAAAGACCACGACAAGTGGGGAAGGTGGCTGTCGCCAACAACCATAACAGTATCACATACAGCAGCAGCATTTAAATTCTCTAAGGCAGCTTCTGAATGCCGAATGTACCTAGCGTTCGGGTTCGCTAATTAGGTCTCAGATAAATACCACACACCAAGACTGATTACTCTACGATTGTTCTAGTCGAACGGACAAACTTTGTAAAGGGAAGATCTAGAAAGGACGTAGCCTTTTTGGGTGACCAGCCATGTGGAAAAATACGCTAAACGTTTGTTTACGTTTGATGAAACACCAATGTTGGACTCCCTCCCCCTTGTTGCATATTTTAGTGACTAACGCGTTCGCACGTGGTCGATCTGAGATCAGCTTTTTCCAAGTGTGCTTACAAATATTCTTGCGTGCAAATTATGTGCAACTGATGACCTTCATAAAATAACGACCTTCACGTCGTCAAAGTTGTCACTTTTTAGCCTTTTTAGTGTATAGATCAAACTGTAATAGTAACGGGTGTTCAATAAAAAATGAAAATTTTTGCAGTCATATACGAAGTAAAAAACAATTTTTTTTTTCAACGAATTCAGTAATTTTTATTAAAAACAATGTTTATTCTATTGGAGTTTTTTTCTTTATTGTATTGGAGAAGGGGCCCTGGTCAGCCGTACGACGCAACTTAGTCGCGATGATCTCACAAGAGCGCTGTTTCCCGATCAGTAGGAACCCAACTCCCCACAATGTTGGGTTGCAGTTTCTTGTCTAACTATTCAACTTTATCTGTAATTCGCAGCAATCATGCAATCTGCCTGGACAAGTGCCAGTCCAGATCTACGACCTCCAAGCGTGGATTACCGCTTGCCAGGCGCTCATTAAAACCGAAATGGGTTCCTACTTGATGAGGAACGCTCGCGACGAGAGCCTACTGGTGGGAGATTTACACCTAACGATACAGGGTCTGAGTGGATTCGAGCAGCCATGCGATCTCTTCATTTGCGTCGAAATCGATTCCTACGGGCACTACTTCCGCAAGGCAAAGACGAAACTTGTCTGCCGAAGTGCTTCACCCAACTGGAATGAATCGTTTGTGCTAGAACTGGAGGGAAGCCAGAACCTTCGGATATTGTTGTACCAGGACGATGTTCAAAGGCCCATTCTGAGGGCTAAGCAGATTCTTAAGGTATGTACATTGTGAAAATCTTTCTCGTGACGGTGATGTAAATGACATGGCTATGATCGTATTTACAGCTCAGTCGACAGTGGCTTCAGGAAGCACCGATGACGAAAGTGTTGAAGTTGTCGGAAACTCTTGCATTGAGCACAGTAATTCGATTCGTTCCTGGTGAAGTAACACTGCGCCGGGTTCCTACTTCGAAACCGGGAGCGCTCTTCGGTGCCAAACTTCAGCAAGTTATCAAGTAAGTGTCGAAAAACTATCTCAATTCTGATACTCTAACGAAAATTAAATCCTTCAGACGGGAGAAACGTGACATTCCATTCATTGTGAGTGCTTGTGTCCGCGAGGTAGAACGACGGGGTATGTCCGAAGTTGGAATCTATCGAGTATCCGGATCTGCCTCGGATGTAGCCAAGTTGAAGAAATCTTTCGAAACAAATGCCTACGAAGCCGAGCAGCTGCTCAAAGAGGTGGACATCCATTCGGTGACTGGTATTCTCAAGTCGTACCTTCGAGACCTTCCGGAGGCCCTCTTCACCGACCAGTATTATCCAAAGTTTTTCGAGACTTTCAATCGACACTCGAATTTGAACGAGGCGCTTCGAATCGACGCGCTGCATAAAATTTTCGTCGAACTACCGCCACCGAACAAGGCGACTATCCATCTGCTGCTGGATCATTTGATGAGGTAAGAGGTATTACGTTTCTGACACAGAGCAATCTGTAACGTTTTTTTTTTGTTTTCTCAATTTTAATCGCAGGGTGCATCAGCAAGAAATCGAGAACAAGATGTCCCTTCACAACCTGGCAATGGTCTTTGGCCCGACGTTATTGCGGCCAGGTCCGACCACGACGAAACAAAAGGATTTGCTCGAGTCCAGCACAGCCGATGTCATGACGCAAGCTGGAATTCTTTACAGCTTTCTACAAGCCAGACTGAAGTGAACACGTTTAATACGATGATAATTGATACTGCTGATGACTATTGAATGGATTAATAAGGGTATGTTTGAATACAGTTTACTTTTTCTATCGTATTACTGATAGTAGTGATAGTATTTATTAAGATTCGCGTGTAGCAAAGACTCGGCAAAGTTATCGGAAGGAATGGATTTTTTTTCTTTGTGTTTGTACTCTTTCGTTAAATCTACGTGGCAATCGATTCAATGTAAGAAAAAGTGCTGCTAGACTTTATTAGCGAATTTTGTTTTTAATAATAAAAACTCTTACTTTTGCTTACTTTCATTTTTAAATGCTAAAAGCATTACGTTATTTTAAGAAGCTCTGGCTTATGTGAGCTTGAAAATGTAGCAAAAAAAAAATTGCTACTTTATTAAGACGTTGTATATTCCTTTGTTAGTCTCTAGATTACGGAACTGTTTAATTTTAAAATACACCCTAAATAGCAGGTAACCAAATTTAGTCATTTTCAACTGTTTCCTATGTAAATTTTATTTTTCATGTACATTTGCTTATGTTGTATATATTAATGGTTTGATTTAGCTTTTAGGGCAAACAAAAAGTCATTATTTCTGGCAGTTATTTAAGCAGATGGCCTTCCGGGCGGTGAAAAGATGTGTTATATGCATAGTTTGCAAGGTGTTTATCTGAATATATAACGTAGGCTCATAAGCGCGACACAAAGCAGCAAGTACATTCGCATTATCAAATATCGTTACAAGCATTAGGTCCATTAATCAAGTGTATTAATTAATGCAATTTATTAAAAACTGAGTTATTATTAATTAAGTCAGAACCGACTACAACAGGCTTTGAAAAGAAAAAGAAAAACCTTAAATCTAATACTGGCAAAACAATCAAGTATCTTCTTTAAACAGCCAAAACAACTATCGAAACACACATACAACATTCGCTGCTTATGTATTGAATGCAATATTTGTATGGAATTATTATGAATAGAGGAAGTGTTTACTGAGACAAGACTTTTTCATAATCATCAACAATATCGGTATTTTCCAAGCAACAGCACGTATTTGCGACCCAATAACAAAACGTATTATTATGATGTCACTTAACGACAAACACATACACGCAGCAAGTTAATGCTGAATTTATATTGTAGGACCTTTTCCTCCAAAGTAAGAAAAAAACGCAAAATAAAGCAAACTTTTCGTATTGTGAAAATTGCGGAACGTTCTTACTTAGTGAAATAGCTGACGAAAGAAAGCCCTAGGATCAGAACATATCGAAATAATTCTAAGATAGGCATAAAGTTGGGACCGTAATCCGAGGGCAAATTGATTATGTTTTATTTTAAATGGCATTCCCAGGGATGGATCCTGGAGGAAGGATCACTCAGTTTTTAATTTTTGGCTTTCCTCTTTAAGGGAACATGCATAAATGACGTAGCATTTGAGGGGGGAGGTGGGGGTTTCAGAATTTGTGACCGGCCATGTATTGGATATAGCCAAATACGCTACGAGGGGGGGAGGAGGGGTCTACAATTGATCAAAAATATGCTACGTCATTTATGGATGCTCCCTAATACTGAGAACGGCTGTACGGGTACGCTTCTCATTGTGTAACGCATCGAGGAGAGAAAAGTAATTCACACTTTGAGGTTTTTTTTTAGTTTGAATGCGTTGTTGCGATGAGCTGACATTACAAATGCCGATAGGGACAGTTAAAAACATGATGCCGATAGGAACAGTATAACAACATAATGCTTTTATCATTCAAATGTATGGAATGGTAGACCAGAGCAAGTTGAAATGCGCAGAAAATTTAAACGGAAAGCGTGTCTATAAACGAATGTGAATTTTATTTTTTCATTGCTGCAATTTGATTTTGGGATCTCGAGGGCCGTGCAATTAAAAGTTAAGGTAATTTGAATAAGCAATATAATTCATAGCAACACGATTTAGTGTTGCTTATACCTAGTAGTTTATAAGGTGCACGGTAAATGAACTAATTTTCACTATATCGGAGATGAAGGAGCCTACGACTGTAAATTGAATGAAAGAGTCGTTCTGTTGTTTGAAAATCAGTACGTTTACTTTACTGCCTTCCTACACAGCAAAAAAGTTGTTGAATATTACATCCAACCTGCTGCGCAACCAGGGGCCACATTACTCAGCGCGAAACGAAACATTTTTTGAACGAATGGTTGTATGCAAAAGTTTTTCGTTTAGAGCTGCGCAACGAGGAACAGGGTGACGGCGATAACCGATCCTTGTGGGACACCCGTTTCCACGGTGAAAAGCCGGGATTTGGTGTTGCCGACTGCGACTCGGAATGAGCGATTGGACAAGAAGTTCTGGATGAAGTGAACGATGGGTCCGTTAAGACCCCAGTCGATTAGTTGCTTAAGGACGAGGGGCGTCCACGTTCTGTTGAATATGCCTTCGATATGTCGAGCGATACTATCTCGGTGTGCAGACCACTGTCGTAGGCGTTCTTGAGAACTTCCCCTAGGGTTGCGAAATAGGTGGACGTTCCGAAACCTTGTCGGAAAGCGTGCTGTCGGTGATCAAGGAAATTTCCAGCTTCGAGGTGTAGCTTCAGTCTTCGATTGACCATACGCTCTAGGACTCTGACCATACAACATGTTAGCGCTATTAGACGGAACTTGCTGACTTCACGGGTGGCTACCCCGGCTTTCGGGATGGGAACTACCAAGCTTTCACTCCATACTGCTGGGTACCCGTTAGTGAGCCAGAGCTTGTTGAAGAGGTCTAGCATCCGTAGCAGTCCTGGTACCGGTATCCTCTTGAGTAGAGGATATCCGATTTCGTCGGGTCCCGCCGACTTCCCGTTGTTGCAGCGAAGGGCATGCTGCAGTTCCTGCCAAGAGAAAGCTTGGTTTATACCGGTACTGGCGGTGTCGGAGGGTACTATGAAGTCTGCGATGGATGCGGTCGATGGCTTGGTTTTCTGATTAAACTTGTTGTCATACTTGTCAATGGTTGCGAGCTCTGCGAAGTAGGTACCGAGTTCATCAGCTACCGTTTCCGGATCGGAAACCGTGGAACCATTAACCTGGACGTTTATTGGTGTCGTGCGTCGTTTCCCACTAAGGGCGTTGATTCGCTGCCAGAGATCGGCCGAGGATTGCGGTGCGTTCATCCCTTCCAAAAAATCCACCCAGCTGGATCGCTTTCCATCACGGATTTCTTGTCGGCATTGGTTGTGTATTTTGTTACAAGTTCCCCGGTAGCAGTAGAGCAGAACTACCGTAGGGCCAACAAAACACAAACACTAATCGGCATTTGCTCCAACCAAAGCAAAAGAGTGTCGAATAACAGTTTAACATTTATTCATTCGCACCCATTCTCCCACATTCCTACTCCTGATTCCTACTTCCTCTTCTTCCTCTCTCTATCCTTCGTACTTTTCCGGCAACCTTGTGCCTCCTATCATCTTTCCAACTATGTCAATTTTTCTTCTTATGAGTACTCACTTTGCCGGTCGGGTGCACCCTTACCGTCGCACAAACGCCGTCTCGATGATGCTGCTATTCGCACGTCTGTTCGGCTCCACACGCACAACACACCTGCGCTCCTGCCGTCGCTCTGGGTGGGAATTCACTCCTCGAAACACCGTCGATCATATCAACGTAAGTGCTCGCGGGTTCGTTTCCCTCCACGTTGGACGTCGCTTCCGTCGAGACCACTAGTTGCTAGCGGTGTGCCCCGTCGCTTCGATGTCGCAAGCACTCCGAGGAGAATAAACCTCGCCTGAGGGTTCCGCAGGTGATGCGGGCTTCGACACTGACCACGTGTCACGATCACGAGACAATCCGATCCAATGAGGTGCTGAAAGTATGGAACAAAAGCCTTCTTTTGAAGGCTTCGTCTTTCGATGCCACGATCCACCGCGGCCGGGCGCTGTCCGTGCGATCGGATCTCGTGCTGCTGATCGTTGTCAATTCTCCACGTGCACCTCTTCTCGCTGCCGGTATGTACGCTTTGTGTGGCGAAAATCTTTTGATTGCCGCGCCATTTCCAAGCGGGCCGTTTGCAGATCTCTTCGTTTCGGATCTTTTGGACACTGCCGCAATCTTCCGATATCCGTCGGATCGAAAGGCGGTCGTTTTGGCACCACTCACCGCCGAAATTGCAGCCCGCGCGCCGACGAAGAACAATTTTCACCACGCACTCTACTCGCACTCGCGACAACCAAAGAAACGAATATTTTCGGGTTCTTTTCCGACCCACGCTCTTTTGCGTGCTGTTTGCATGGGAATCTTTTCACTTCTGCCTTTCGCTGTGTTCGACGGATCCGGTACAGGCTGATGTGGATGTGTGTGTGCGTGCGGAAGCACAGTCAGCAGACTCAATGCTGAATCATTATTCGTCAAAACAATTTGCGTTGCTCGTTCCTTGTCAAGCGATGTGACCTCTGCAGCATCTTTTGTTTATGCACGTTCGAATGTAAGCAGCAATTGTGTAAAATTACTCGTTTTTACCAAACACAGGAAAAAATTACAACCCAAATCTAAAACGTAACACAACTCTACCGTAGCGGAAGAATTTTTTATGAATCGGTGATCAAACGATTCATAAAAAATTCAAAACTCATCCCTCAGGATGTTGGTCAGAGACTTCAACGGTCAACAAAACTCTTGAGCAGACCTCAAGTTACAAAATTCAACTAAATCGAAACATAAAACGTACGCAAGCCTCGGCTGCTTGCCAGATCTTAATCTCCCATCACTACCTGAACTGCCTAATCTAAATGCTTACAACCGCCAGCTGCTTCTGGCAGAACTACTTCGACCTTCCAAATCGTCTCTGACCTTGTCCTTGTCCAAGCTTCCACAAATCCGTGCCCACTACGGCGAACATTCAAACGGATTCTAGCCTATTGATATAGCAATAATAGGCTCAATCTCACACAAAACGAAAAGAAGCTTAGATATTAATGATTGGCTTAACATATTAATATTTACAAGGACTAAAATGGTTTGTATTGGTTTATGCGGTGCATCTGAGAAAAGTTGCATTTCCGCGACTAAATCGTCATGAGCCCAGAGTGAGGGGTTTTACCGTGCCCCGAATCGCGTTGCTTTGGGATGGAAATTTCATGACGATCCCCAGAGATTTTAACCTTTGGGAACGCATTCGAGTTAACTGGACACGCTTGAGGAAGTACGTGAACACCAATCCAGTCTTGGATGTGTTGTGCCGGGTTTTGTGTTTTCTTGCTTGGTAGCTGGCGTAGCTCATAGCTCTGTTGTCAGTGGTTAGTGGTTATAGTTGGTGATGAGCTGGTTTGTCCCGATCGGCGAACGGCTTGACCACTTGGTGTGTTTTGGTGTGAGGTCTCCTCTTCCTGGTTGGCAGTTGTTTTGCGGACATAGCTTGATGATATGCACAGTTTGTCACGTCTGGCAACGGCATGTCAGCGCGAAGCATAAACATGGTCAGTTTCTCTCGCCCTGACTAACGGCCTGCCCGGTTGGGCTTCTCCTTCCTCCGTCTTGCTGTAACGACTTCGGTTGGCCGCGGAGCCTGGTGGATTGCGCAGTTTGTCACGTCTGGCAACGGCATGTCAGCGCGAAACTACGGTAGTGACAAAGGGCCTCCTCTCTGTCGTGGTGTCCGATGGGGAGCCGCTTTACACGTCGAAGTGCCTTGCGCCGGGCTTTGACTGCCTAGTATCGTATCTTCATTTCGCCAGCGGAGGTCTTTTCTCCCCGGTACGCTGCTGGTCTTGAGGATCGTGGTCGTTGCTGCTTCGTATATGGCGTCCGAGACGTCCTCGATAATGTCCGGGTTCCGCTGTAGTAGTAGAGTTTCCATAGTGGTGCCGTAGCTTTCCCAGTCCGCTTGTTCATACTGCCATCGCGGCCTCCATGTTACCGCCGAGACGAAGGTCGCCGAGAGTTGAATTTGTATGGGGTAGTGCTCACTACCGTACTGGTCAGAGTTAACGTTCCACTGCGTTTTACCAGCGTTTTAACGTTCCACTGCGTTTTACCATCGTTCAAGATTACCGTGCGTGCCACGAAGGTCCGACCGAAGGCAACCCCAATTTGAGTGGTGCGCGTTGACGTCCCCAACTAGGATGCGTGGTTCAGGTAATTTCATTAGGGTCTCGCTGAGTTGACAGTTGAGGTTGCCGATTCGTCCACATGGCAAATAAACGCAGGCAACGGTGATGTTAACTGGTTCTGTAAGTTGAACCCAGAGTATGGGTAATTGTGAGTCCAAGTCGATAACCCGGAAAGGTACCGTGTTTAGTACCCCAATGGCTACGGAGTGTCGGAAATTTCTACCGCTTTTCTTTGTCCAGCTGTATCTTCCGTCGAGGGAGCGGTTCATCTGTTCGACGGAGGCTTTGTTTACCTCCTGCAATGCGATGACCCAGGGGGGATCAGCTTGGTAGAGAAGCTCGAGGTCTCCAATCCGCTGCAGGAAGCCGTTAACGTTCCATTGGAGTATAAAGTTGGTCGACTTGGGCAAGGCCGGTGTGGGGTACGGGCTGTTCGATACGGTGGACCCGGTGTGGCTGCGGTGCAGGCTACCGCTGTGGTCGTCAGGCGGATCTATATTCGTAGATGGTGAGGATTTCAAGATATAACTTAAAGATACAGGAAGTTCACATGTACACTAGCGCCGCGTAGTGATAGAATTCCAAATTTATCTGCACTCCATCACCATTTGGAATGCCTTGATAATCTTACTTATAAATGACGGAAACAGAAGCTTCTTAGAAATCCAGAACCTAGTTTTACGAATTGATTGTTTTTTACAGATGTTCCGGATTTTTCGGTGGATCCCCCGGGGGTCTCCATATCACGAATTCATTCATTGATACACTGCGACCAGTGAGTTAATCTATTGTAGTATATCACATGTCCTGAGTTTAGTGAATGTCGTATTACTCCATCACTATTGAGAAAGTATTCGGTTTTGATACAGCTGTCATTCTTGCCTTCATCGTAAGGAATCGTTTCTAATTGAAAGGGGGGAGAGGTAGCTCATCGATTCTTCCGGTTCGCCTCCTAGCATCGTGCTATAAGGTACCAGGCGATAACCAGGGTAGTTGATCCATAGCTCGATGACGTCATTTCGTTGACGTCTGCAATGGGAAATTCTCATAGCAGGCGTTGACGATGGGACGTTGTCGAGTTGTTGAATAGCAACTATCGTGGTAACTCACCGATTACCTGTCGATCTGTCAAATTTGGAAAGACGTCTGCATTGAATTGTCTCATATAAAAATATTCCGCCCACTATATCACAAGAAATTGCGAGTAGCTGAGTGGAATGGAGATAAGTTAAGCATTGGGTACAGGACCAAGTCTCCCCTGGGTGGTGCCAAAAGATGAGCGCAATAGAATCATCAAGTTGCCATAAGGCACGGAATGAGACTATTGCATGGCTGGGTAGTCAAAGTCTTCCATTCGTTAGTCATTTCAGGTGGATTAGAACAGGTTTAGGTTTAGGGTGGGCGTTGGCCAGATTTGGATTTTTCAGATGTAATCCTGGATAGGACCCTGTCATTGAACGTTGCGTGAAAGTGGAACTTAATGAAGGCCTAAGTACTTTTTCGTAGTTTTTAGTTTTCGGATTTGAAAGATCGTCGGTTACAGTGGCCTGCTTACTGAGCAGAAAAACGCTATCGGATCGGGTGCTACTCAATTTTTTGCGAGTAAAACACACGCTGTTGCGAGACTGCACTTTCATTTCCAAAGAGACGTGAAAGAGCATTTTAAATCGTGCAGCATATTTCATTCTTCTTGTGTTGGAGAGCTGCCGCTCCAACGGTGTTAAGTCTCTTTCTCTCTCTCTCTCTCTTTGTTTCTCCGACAGTGTACTTTCTCTATAACTGTAGCGTTGTAGGATAGCTAGCATCAGTGCTGTTAATTTTCATATCATTCGATTGAAGATGAACCAATACAACTATTAAATCGATTCAGAGAAAAAAAATCTCTCGTGCCCATCATTTGAAGAGCCCCTTTCTCATTCGAAGCTCATTGTCACTGTCAATTGAGTCTCCCACTATCATTTGATATACGACAGTGGAGTGTGCAAGAAACCCAGCAAAATGGTCCCGAACAGACAAGTCAGCCCGATGTCGGATCAATGTAAGGCTAATTTAGGGTCGATGTCGACCCAATGTCGTGTTGTTGTCGGGTCAATTTGAAGTTTATGTCGGGTCAATGTCAGGTCAACATCGGGTTGGGGTTTGATAGAAGTCAGGTTGGTGTCGGGTTGGCTTACATTTTTCGCCGGAATGTCGACCAGAGCTAACCCCCTAGTGAAGAAAATTACACATCGATCTTAAAAACATCTCTTTAGGAAAAGCATCAAAATTTACATTTTCCTACGCTTCTGCAACATATCTAGAGTGATTTGAGATTTGGGCGTAATTGCATTTGTAAACAAACACGTCAATCACCGATTTCTCGCGAATAAAAGCTCAATCTCGAAAAGTAATAACACTATGAGGTAGAGGAATTATTCCTCTATCATTTGGTATAGTTTGTTTGTGAGATTGAGCTTTTATTCAAGAGAAATCAGTAATTGACGTGTTTGTTTACAAAAGCAATTACGCCCAAATTTCAAATCACTCCGGATATATTATATGAGTGTAAAAATATTCTGCACCCAGCCTAAAATATTCAGCAATTCTTGTAAATCTCTAAGCCACGTCTCTCCCGATTGAAAAGTGCTACTCCCGTCATAACACCGTGCACTACTCGATTGTGCTATACGCAAGTGCACCTGAGCTGTCCAACTACTCTCTCCTAAATATGAAATCTCTCTCTCCTTAGTCTCTTTCTCCTTCCAAATATAAGGGACGCGCTCCCTTATTTTAGAGTAGCACCAGTGTTTTTTGCACCACCCTGTATGAGAGATTTATGGTAAAATCGCTTGTGTATCGTGTATTTTGCGAAACTCGTTGTTGTCGTTGGTTCCGGGTTTGAATGGATACACAAATTTGAGCAACGGTATTATGTGATATGAGGGGCTCGGTGGCCTTAGAGCAACCGTTTTTGCTTACTGAGCAGAACATCATGAGTCTAATATCAGGCCCATCCACATTAAAGATTCGTCAATCGTTTTATTTGTTAATATGACTACATGGTAATAACAGCAACTCGGTGATTAAAAAGGTGCTCGTCTGCCTAGTGGCAAACGTTTTTGCTTACTGAGCAGAAGACCGTGGGTTTAGTCCCAAGCTCCTTCGCGTTATATGATCGTTAGGACATCAATTCAACTTATCGTTTACCAAAACGAACCCTGCTGCAAACCCAACCCTCTTATCCAACATCCCAGTGATTCCTCGTGGAAGTGCAGAGGTGTTCTCGGCTTCCATCAAAGCGAGTGTCATGTCAACACAATCCTTCCCATTCCTTTCTTGACCTGTGTTCGGGCGCGGCTGGCGCTGGTATTGCCTAATTTAAGATCACCAGTTTTTACACATTTAGGATGATTGCTAGTCCCAAGCATCGTCTATTGGTTCTCTGTGTAATAACAGCTGATCTGGCAGTAACAGAGTAGCAACCGTTGGCGGCCAATCAAGCTCAAGCTCAAGGAATCGATTCTAATTGAAAGGTCTTGTTATTTAAACCCTTCGATGAGTGAGAACACCCTCCGAAGGTGCGCCCTTTTGTCCTTTTGGATTCTTTAGCAACAAAAGTAAGCAATGACACCGATAATTTCCTATTCATATGGGACAGTTATACTTTTATGGGCAGTATAATACTATAGCAAAGAACTCTGCATCATAATTTTTTTTTTTCAATGGTTGATAATTTCAATAATCCAAAAGGTGGTCGCATCACCATGGGTGGTCATCTTACCCCGTAGTCCCCTACCTGGAAATTTCCAAAGAATGGGTCATAAGTACGTATATCTTGCAAATTTCCCTTTTCCGAGGAGGTGGACTCATTATAGTCGGCCAAACAAAACTAAAATACAACAGTTTATGTCTTTTATTTTCAATTCAGTTCTCACTTACATTTTAAATGAACACCGTATTCAATCACTACTCGCCAATCTTCACCACCGCTTTACCTGTATTGCCACCCTTGAGCATATCCATAAATGCCATTGGAACATTCTCAAAACCCTCCGTAACGGTTTCGTGCCATTTCAATTTACCCTCGTTGATCCATTTTAGGTTGGCCTCGATACCTTCCACCCATCTGTCGTTCCAACGCCATACCACAAAGCCTTCCATCTTTAGCTGCTTGAAGACCATCATTCTTAATGGGTCTGTGACCTTCTCAACGGAAGTGTTGTAATTCGAAATTGTTCCGCAAACAGCAATCCGGCCATACAAATTCATAAGCTTGATAACCGATTCCGATATTTGCCCCCCAACGTTGTCAAAATATACATCTATTCCCTTTGGAGCAGCTTTTTTCAGCTCGCTGTATACGTTGGCAGTTTTATAATTGATAGCACCGTCAAATCCCAATTCCATCAACCATTGACATTTGGCATCTGATCCAGCGATTCCAATGACACGACAACGCTTAATCTTAGCTATTTGACCCACATGATTGCCTACAGCCCCAGCTGCACCACTTACAACTACGGTTTCTCCTTCCTTAGGCGAGCACAGTTCCAGTAATCCGAAATATGCCGTATTACCCGGCATTCCGAGAGCTCCTAGCCCCAAACTTGTTGGCAGGTTTCCAAAGCCCGGAAGTACATACGGTAGATCGCTTTTCATCACTGCTGGATTGCACACGGTATGCGTGCGCCAGCCGAACTGACCAAATATCGATGCTCCCACTGGGAACGCAGCATTCTTACTATCGATCACTTTTCCAACCTGGCCACCGATCATGAGCGTTCCTTCCGGATAGGCCATCATGTATGGTCGCATATACGGATCGACGCTGATGTAGTCGGCCTTTGCGAGGAAATCTGTGGAATTAGATTGTGTTAATAAGTAGCATTGGATGTTTTTGTCACACCACGTTTTAATTCTCCATTTTATGCCTTGTTCAGACTACAGAGTTATAACCTTGGTGTTATAATTAGTATCGACAAGAAAAACGTCATCAAGATAGCCTTGAAACATGCTAGTCTGAACAAACCATTAGACTGCTGGTATTTTATAAACTCAAGACCAATAATTGAAATGGCCTTAACTCCATTTTGTAAACAAACCTTGCCGTGGAGGTACCATATTCGAAGCGGTTCCTAAATCGACGCACTCAATAATGTTCGACTATTTTCAATCATTATTTTTGAAATTTTACTTCTGCAAATATTAGTTCCTGTGCTCTAGGGATGATGGTGTAACAAAGTTTAAAAAAATATCTTGTCAAAATCGAGATGCGATGAAAATTAGACGAGTGCGTCATCATTAGGGACGCGTCAAATATGGTGCTGGCATGGTAAGGCCATTTTCTCGCGAACCGAAATCTTCATTCGCAAACTTAAACCTCAAACGGTAGAGGAGAATTTCCCCTACCTGTTCATTATGTTGGTTTGCCTTTGCCGACTTCGGTTCGCAGGAAAATGGCCTTACAAGGTTTGTTTACAAAATGGAGTTAAGGCCATTTCAATTGTTGGGCTTGAACTGGAAAAAAAATTTACTTAATTTCGTAAGAGAAATGACTCTAATGTTGACCTATGGATCTAAGATTGGACCCATCGCTGAAAATCTGCTATTTATCAATTGTATCTATATGAACGCGTCATTGGGACGGCACAAATAGATATATTTGGTCGCTATTGAAAATGTAGTCGAATGCTGAATTTATGTATGGGCCCAAATTAGGGGCATTTAGGCCGATATTACATCCATTTCCCCTATTTTATATTTTTTGTTCATGAAAATGAGTCCATTTTAGGGCCAGGTTTTGATCATAGTGGTTCTCTGATGGGTCCTATCATAAATTTAAATTTTATTCATTAATCACCCAATTTAATTCAATGCAAGGCTAGAAAATAGATTTTGCCATATATCTAACTGGTGTAACTGGCACACTTACCCTACTGGTCTTTATTTATGACTATTTAATTTAAGAATCGATCTTTGAGCTTTATTCAAAGATTAATTTAATATGTATTATCTTTTCGGACACTTTTGCGTATCTCGTATTGAAGTTCATGCGCTTGGCGCTTATCAGCCGAGCAGCATTTGAATGACTGACTCGCGTACGAAACGAAAACAAATAAACGAATTCAAGTCATACCTCCATCTTTCAGTGCCGGCAGGTTTTCAGTCTGCAATTGAAAATTCTGCTGTGTTGGTTCTCCTTTGAATGCTTTTGCGTAAATCCACTTTTTAGCCGCAACCGCCGATGAACAGTAGCATCGACGACCGAGTAATCCTACTTGCATCATTCCTAAAAATAATGAATTTCACGCAATCTGCTCTTTTAAATATTGATTATTGCTACTTACTTTATAAAGTTCGAGGCTGGAAATATGAAAAAGAATTGACCTTCTAAAAATAAAACATATTCTACAAGGTTAATGCTGTACCGATAGCGAAGTCGATAGCAAACTGAAGCTTCCAAGGCAAGACTACAAGGCTAAGTAGTGACAAAGTGAACTTATCTGTAGGGTAAGGTGGGACATGATGCGTCACGGGGCAAAATAGGTCTGCTAGTACATTTATTAGTTTAATTGTTTGTCAAAATTAACAAGTTCAATGAAACCCAATGAAATGCTTTATCAACACAGCATTGGACTACATTGAGTATGTTGATGTTAACAATACAAAAGAAAACAAGTACAGAACCCAACTTGCCACACCTTACCCTACCTAGCATACAAAAATGGACGCGTGAACTGTGAACAAGTGTGCGAGGTTTTTTGATTCGATGATCGCACTCATGGCGCATATGCTTATGTTTTTGAAACGTACTGACTAGAGTTGATAATAGAAGAGTTTTTTATAATGCTTTTATTTTTCCAGGCTCATTTGCAGTAGCTTTGCGGAGCCGATATTCATCGTTTGAATTACAAAATTACTTAAAACTAACGTTAGTAAAGCGGGGGCCTCGAGGAAATCTCGAGGTTAGGGGTAACAAATTGTAACAAACAGATGTATCGAACTTCTTGGAATCGAACCAGACACCTAAATACTTGAAAGATATACTTTGAGTGATTGTTCTACCCTTTATTTGAAGCTGTAACTATGCAGGATGATGCTTCCTAGAAAGAAAAAAACAACCAACTCAGTTTTCTCTGGAGAGAATTCGATACCTAGCTTCATAGCCTTAGTAGACAAATTGTCTAAAGTATCTTGCAATGGTCCTTGCAGGTCCGGTGACGGAAACAACGCCATCATCTGCAAGCTGCCTTAGCGAGCAATTTTCATGAAGACAACCATCAATGTCTTCTACATAAAAATTATAAAGAAGGGGGCTTAAACATGAGCCCTGGGAGAAGCTCATATATTTCTCAGACAACAAGTTGCTCAAATAGTTGTTCTGAATTGGTGAAAGCCCACTATCGTGAAGTTTATTCGAATGGACGTCGGTACAAACAGAATCAAAAGCCCCCTTAATGTTGTGCTCCAGAAATTGATTGAATAAGTTCAACAAGCGTTTCTTCGCAACGTCTGGGAGATTTTTAAGCAAGTGAGAATTCCACCATCTAAAACTGGGAATTGTAAAATCCTCTCCCGGTCCGTGATATTCCTCCAAAATATTTCTAATTTACTCCACCAATCTCACGCTTCAACTTTACTTTTATTCGTCCGATACTGATCACCATTCACATTCAACTGCCTCTTCCTACCCTGTGCCCCACTCACCTATCCTGTCGGTGTCCTCCTTTGCTCTGTTTTCCTCTTTCTCTCTCTCTCTCTTTCTCTCTATCATCACCAAGGGGTGTGACACTTAGTTTAAGAAACAACTGGTAATCATGGACTCTACAGGAATCTATTTCGTTATTACCCGACCGACGAACACGAACGTTGGTTTGAACCGGTACCGAATCCGGGCAAACTTTTCGCGCAAAGCTGAATATCCATCTGTTCGAGTACTCTTTGTCTTCATACTTCATTAATCGGTGATGACACGTTTCGCATTCTCCTGCCGACATTCCAGAGTGTTCTCATGGAAGTCTCTCGTGACAAACCATCGACGAACCGACGCCAGTAACCGTGTTTTTTGGCTTTAGTCAAGCCCTTAAAGGTTTTCTCGAGGTCGGTGCACCGCTCGAAATCCTCGACCTTACCGTGTTTGCGGAAGCGTTTAAACGCGGCGGACTTCTCGCTGTTCGCGTCGGTGCATTCCTTATCCCACCACGGGGTAGGAGGTCGCTTGCGAATGGAAACACCCGGAACACGTTTCGTCTGTGCTCGCAGCGCACAATCGATTATGACACGCGCGAGAAAGGAGTACTCGTCCAGCGGAGGAAGTACTTCAACCGATTGACTGGCATCAAGAACCGCGGTCGCGAATTTCCGCCACTCAATGTTTTTCGTAAGATCGTACGCCATGTCGACCGAGTGAGTAGAAGATGAACCATTGGTAACATAAATTTTGATTGGCAAATGGTCACTACCGTAGGGATCTTGGATTACTTTCCACGAGCAATCGAACGATAGTGAACTCGAACAAAGTGAGAGGTCTAATTGGCTTACTCTTGCTGGAGGTTTGGCTACTCGTGTTGCTTCCCCGGTGTTCAGAATTGTCGTTTTGAAGAAGTCGCACATGTCGTATATAAAGGTTGAGCGGTTGTCGTCGTACAGTTCCCCCCAGCCTGTACCGTGAGAGTTAAAATCTCCCAAGATCAACCGTGGCTCCGGCATAGCCGTGCAGATATCCGCAAAACTTTGACGAGAGATCGCGGTTCTCGGTGGAAGATATACTGAGGCAGTTACTTCGAATATTAGCCTGACATGCAACAACTTCAATGCCTGTCACCGAAGGCAGATTGATTCAGATCGTTGTCTGAAGAGAGCCATGTTTCACAAAGGGCAAATGCATCAGAAAGTGAGTTGTTAACTAAAAATTTAAATGTGTCAAGTTTTGGCATAAGACTTCTACAGTTCCACTGAAGAACAGAGATCATATCCCCGACCTCATTCGGAGAGTTATCCATCAAAGGATATGATCGATGCCAGGAAGGACCACCTAGAATCTAGTTGGTTCAAAAGAGTTTTCACCATTGGCAGCACTAAATTAATAATGCTCCTCGTTGAGTCAGATAATATACTGAAGAAGCTATCCACAATACTTAATAATAGAAGAGTTGCGCAGAGTAAAGCTTGCAACACTGATGTCGATCAATGGGCAGTTTTTATATTTACAACCTTTGTTTTTTGTTTACACCTCAGATTACTTCACCTGGGTTGTGAAAGTTTCCTCTAGTTTCGATAAAAATACTTCTCACGTAACAGAGTCAATTTGTGTACTATGCTCGATAGGTAGACGGTTTGACAGTTCGATAGGTAGATTTTGGTTTCAGCCTGCGTAACTCTTCTATTATCAACTCTGGTACTGACCAGTGCTGAGAATTGTCATAGTCATAGAAAGTTTTCACGCGATATTGACAGAATTATTGACATTGTCACTGGAACAAATCACTCTCACATAACCTTCGTCAAATACTCATTCATTTTTTGTCAATTCGACCTGGTGACAAAAATTGTAAGTTCGTGCAATCTCTTTCACATTATTGTTATCTAGGCACTTACGAACGTAGATGCTAGTTGACTTTGACGGCTACATGGATTTATTTTGCTAAATTAATTAAATTTCGTTGCAAATTTTGGTGATTACAGAACACTACATATGCTCATCCCAACAAACAATTCAAAGTCACAAATAAGCATACACATTGAATAAATGCTGTATAACAGTGTACAATGCTGAATAAAACAGGATGTCGAATTATGTGCTGAAAAAAGCTCATTGGGATCGATAGATGCGCTTTTATTCCGCCGTTTGCTCTGATATGATTAATTTCCTTATTAAAAGCTTTATAAACGTTGAATGTCTTCCTTATTCAGAACCAGAAGTTTGATCTAATAACAAACTGAATAAGTGTAATTTGCACATACATTGTCGCTTTTATTTGACTGTTTTCAAATGATTTAATAAAATGCTTTATTAAACGTCTTATAAATGTTTTCTAGCTCCATTATTAGATTTCATTGCATTCCTTTACAATATTGCTGTAGAAAGGTGAATACACTCAGCAAAATAGCTCTTAAACCACCCAACAAACAATTCAAAGTCACAAATAAGCATATATATTGAATAAATGCTGTATAACAGTGTACAATGCTGAAAAAAAAAAGAGTTGTCGAATTATGTGCTGAAAAAGCTCATTGTTCGACTGTTTGCTCTGATCTGATTAATTTACTTATTAAAAGCTGTAAAAGTGTTAAATGTCTTCTCAATTCAACGCCAGAAGTTCGATCTAATAACAAACTAAATAAGTGTAATTTGTACATACATTGACACTTTAATTCGACTGTTTTCAATTGATTTAATAACATGCTTTATTAGACGTCTAATAAATGTTCTCCAGTTCCTTTATTAGATTTCATTGCATTACTTAACAATATTGCTGAATAAAGGTGAATACAGTCAGCATAATAGCTCTTATACCACTACCCAACAAACATTGGAAGCGGAATAAGAGCTTATTCAGGCAAAAATATACTTCTTCGACTACAAAATGGCTTATTCAGCCATTAATCTGCTCAAATTGTTTGTTGGGTATGCTTCCATGTTGTAATCACATGATTTGTAAATGCTTTATAAACGACGTATTAGATTCATTATTCGACAATACTGATTCGGTCTTACAACAAGGCGAAATCAGTAGAGTAGTGGTTACCGTTTCCGCTTTCCAATTAGAAGGTCGTGAGTTCAATCCCAGGCTCAACCCTTTTTTTATTTGTGTAGAACATAATTAATTTAAACAGTAATCATCGATCACATGACTCACGATAATGAATGCATTGATCTAGTTTAAAATATAACCGAGCATCCTTTCTTTCGACTTGGAGATGTGAAGAGGCAACATTGGTCTCATTTAAAACAACGATGAATGAATTAATCATTCCCACTGGGCCTTGAAGGAGCTAGAGTTGCGATCGGGAGTGCTGATAGGTATTTACTTTCATGTAAGCTTTTATACATTATTGAGTTGCCTATATGATGAATTCTAGGATAGCTCAGATGACAAGGCAAGCGGCTGGTGATCGGAATGTACATGGTTCGATTCCCATACAACGGCATGTATAAGTATTTAATAAATTTTCTAATATCTGTGTGGTGTGAGCCAGGTCAGCAATATTGAAATACAATACACTTAAGAAACACAACCACACCCTTCCCTTGTCCCTGTCCCCCTGTCCTCTTATTTTCGGGTTAATTTTCCCACAGTTGAATAATCGTTTATTAAATGTATAATAATGTCTAATTAAACGTTACCCAACTAACAATTTTCACAATGTAAACGCTTTACTCATTTCATTTATACAGTCTCAAGCTGTTTTCAAACGTTATACGATATGAGGAAACTTTTACTCAACCTCTATACAAGCAAATCTGGCGAACTAAGTCAGCTACTTATGGTTGTTGGGACGGTCGGGAGAAGCTCTTATTGCATTATCCATTAACGCTTTTATACAGCTGTTATCCTGCTGTTTAGTTGTGTGTGAACTTGAAAGGCGCTTATTCAACCTTTTCCCGGTTATCCAATAATCACTACACAGCTTTCTCTTGAAGCCGGGTTAAATACTGTTTACGCTTTTTTATGAAGGAATTTATTGAGTTTATTTTGCTGTGATCAAATTAATCGAAATTAGTTACAAATCATCACCAAATTATTTACCCTGCACCGGAACCTGGAATCGAACTCGAGACGACCTCATTGGCAAACCTTGACACTACCAACTGTGCTACGCCAACACTTTGAACTTATGTAAACAAATCAACATTCCCTTCTACAACAAAATCGCTGAGTAGAGGCTTTATAATAGTGCACACTGCACTCTGCTCTCGAATAGTTATAAAAGAGCAGAGTAAAAGCTGTAAAACTGAACACGTCTAAAAATAAACCTAGTTGACTGTGAAAATGCTTCCGAAGTTGCTCTAATACAGTTTATAAGCTGAGTACAGGTTGTTTAGTTGTTGAAAAAGCACTTTTGATGTTTATGTTATTCAGCAAGAGTGGTTGGTTGTGTAGAAGCCATCAAATGAGTAATATATTCACTTTGTTAGCTTTGTTTTGCAGCTACAAGTTGAAAGTTGGGTAGTGTGTGTATAGAAGTGACATAAGCGTCTATTGGCTGATGTTATTCAGTGCGACTGACAAATTGAATAATGGTTGTGAGAAAGTTGAGTAAACGCTCTCCAAAACTATTTTGCTAGCTTTTGCTTGTAGCTGTATCTGCAGCTTCTTTTCAGCTACTTTACAGCACAACGCTGGAAAAGTTGGCTTACAAAGCTGAAAATGTTAGTTGGGTACTCCACATGAGAATCAAGCGTATACAGAGCATCGCTGTTTTAAGGAAGCAGTTATGTCTAATAAACGCTGAATAATTAAAAAAATGTATCGTATAAACTCTGTTACAACATAATATAAGTCAAATAAATGCTTCTCGACATACCTTATACAACACCAAGTAGTTCAATGTTTTGGTTGAATAAATTCTCCAGATTTGTGTGAACAAAGCCTGAACAGGAGTTGTTATTAAAAATAGTACAAGTACTATTAAGCATGTAGTTGAATAAAATGGCCAAGAAGTCGTTTCATCAATAGACGATTGTTTGTTGGGATCACTGACAATTAACATGATTTCCCTCGAGTGAGTGACAAAAATTATTTTGTCAATATCACCGTGTATGGTCGGCATTTTACAGCACTGATTGAGAAGAGTTTCTGGAGGGAAAATTCCCATGGAATTCTGATAAAATCCAAGGAAATGTGTTAATTCTTTATAATTATTTGACAAAGAGATTGGTGAGGAATATTCCAAGTGAATTAAAAAGAAACATACGGAGAGAAATTATAGCAAACTACCCATAGACTTAGACACTGTTTAGGATTCTCTTATGTTCTTACCTTACCATTCAGGCTAAGGTCTGAGCTTCCATGCTTCCATTTATTAACGTCCTTTTAAACGAACCACCTTGAAGAGGTGGAAAAAGTTCATTCAGGACGGCCAAGTCGCAACCAGCACCCAGCCGATTAGCTTCCCCAGGTAGCGATAATCACGGGCTGCTTAGAGTTGGCTATAACCTATTTGCTCTATCATTGTCATCACCGACACTAGCGACTTATAAACAATAGTGCATTAGTGGCAACAATGATCCCCCGTTCTTGTTCGCATTACTGACGGCAAATATCACCACCAGCAACCCCACCGGGCACCGCGTGGAGGTAAGAATCGGAGTTCAGGTGCACAGAGGTCGCAAATCGCCGGTCAGGGCAGAACCCAACATCCATTGAAAGGCGTTCTTATGCACCTGCTTTATCCGGCGCTAGGGCCTGAGTGTCCTTTGATGTACACAGAAGTCGTCTCCATTGCTCTCGATACATGGCTTCACGTCGCTGGCCACGCAGTCTGCGAAGGCTCCGCAGGTTACTTTTCACTTGATCGATCTATCTCGGTCACTACGCGCCTCTTCATCTTGTTCCAGTCGGATCGTTATCGAGAATCATTTTCATCGGGCTGTCGTCGGACATTCTTACGACTCAACTTAGTGTGCATTTCTTAGCATTTCCAAGTTGTTAATTGAGAGCCTTTCTAAGCCTGTTGCATTTTTGCATTAGTAGGTATTATTGTTTGGCAAGTACAATCATAATCTGTACCCATGGAAGTTGAGAAATATTTCAACCAGTAAAATTCTTAGACCGGATAGGGAATCGAACCCAGCCGCTTCCAGTATGGGCTTAATCTGGCTTAATTTTTGGAGTACCGTACTGAGGAAATGTTAGAAATTCTGAGCTTGAAGAAATATTAAAAATTCTAAGAGCTATCCAGACATCGCATTTAAAGATTTTATTAACAGAATTCGAAATATACGCATGTATAAAAAATAGTCATGTCATTGCAAAAGCGACTAAAACTACATGAATAGATACTAAAGCTACCTGGTCATTCGAGCATGACTGAATCGTGACAAAACAAATTTCATAACTGGTATCATTGACGACGCTTATCTATCTAAGCTTGATTTTTGAACCTTAGCCATAGTCAGAATGATGTACATTTTTTAGCGCTGATAAGCACTGGTATTAATATTGGAAACAACTCAATCACGACTTTATTCTGTAGCCTTCTACCGTCCGATACCGTCAGTTGTGAAAATGGGTGTTGTCTCTCGAAACTGGATTTACGCGAAAAAGTTCGTAGGAGAACCCACGAACGAAAACTTCCGGCTGACCGAAGAAGAATTGCCACCTCTTCAGGATGGAGAATTTCTTGCTCAGGCAGAGTATCTCAGTGTGGATCCCTACATGCGGCCGTACATGAGTCGATTTCCTGAAGGAAGTTTGATGATCGGAGGGCAAATAGCGAAAGTAGTGGAAAGTAAGAATGTTGCCTATCCCGTTGGAGCAAAAATTTTCGGTCAATTCGGCTGGCGTACACATACCGTATATAATCCGAAAAAGGCAGAAAACGAACAGAAACCGTATGTGTTGCCAGATTTAGGGTCACTCCCATCAAGCTTGGGACTCGGTGTTCTAGGTATGCCTGGCAATACGGCCTATTTTGGATTATTGGAGTTGTGCACTCCAAAGGAAGGAGAAACTGTGGTAGTTAGTGGAGCAGCAGGCGCCGTAGGCAGTATTGTTGGTCAGATTGCAAAACTGAAAGGATGTCGAGTGATTGGTATTGCAGGGTCGGATGACAAGTGCCAGTGGTTGAAGAAGCTCGATTTTGATCATGCCATTAACTATAAGACCGAGAATGTTCTCGAAGAATTGAAGAAAGCTGCACCAAAAGGAATCGATTGTTACTTTGATAATGTTGGTGGCTCCATAACAGAATCGGTTATGCGGCTCATGAACTTATATGGCAGAATTTCCGTTTGCGGTACTATTTCAAACTACAGCACTGGTCCGATCAAGGTTCAAGACCCACAGACTGATTTTGTGTTCAAACAATTGAAAATGGAAGGATTTATTGTCACAAGATGGCAAGATCGATGGATGGAAGGCATTCGCGCCAATTTGGACTGGATAAAAGAAGGAAAACTTCAATACGAGGAAACAGTTACAAATGGATTTGAGAGCATGCCGAAAGCGTTCATGGGCATGCTAAAAGGCGGTAACACAGGAAAAGCTATTGTAAAAGTAGAATAACTAACAGCTATACCGTAAGTAGCGTAACTTTAGTGTTGTAAGTTATCAACAATGTTCTTAGAATTAAAAAAGTAAATAAATGGATTAAAACATGATACGTACATTTTTCTAAACATCTTGGGTCATTTTGGATTTGGACTATCCTTTTTCTACCCCTAGGTCGTCACGTCGATTCCCACAACATCTTCCTCGAAATTGAATTCTTCACATAGTTTCCTTGTCGTTGTTGTCCAACGATTCACCTCCAGCCATCACAGTACGTACTGCTACCACACTGTTATTCGTCTTGTTGCTTTACTGGCTGCTTCCGGGAAAGCATTCTGGCGATGCTTCTTTATCTTGCATAAAAAACATTTGTTTTTAATCCCGTCATGGAATGTATTCTCCTTCCGATTGAGTAAATGAAGCGAAGGGGTAATTTCCTTTTTTTGATGTACATTTGCGTACATGTCGAGTAGGGTGGCCCAAAATAACTTTGTTTAAAAACCTGGGGCCTCACTCTCCAAACAAGTTATAAAAAACTTTTGTGTACACACTCAATCGAGATTACCGGGCCCGGTTAAAAAACTACCGATATTATAATAGCTGAGTGCTTATTGTGACTACAATGTGCAGTCTTCATCAGTGTCACTCCCACTAAATACTTATCAAAAACCTAACCCCCTTAAAAGTCGAAATCCCCTAAGTAAAAATATCAAGATCATAGGTATAAAAACGAAACTACAACGTGTAGAACCGGAACTTACCTAACTAATAAAAACCAAAGATTTAAGTAAAGTAAAGGAAAAAAATCTATTCAAATCTCTAATAAGGAAAAAAATCCAAAGGCTTGGTAGCCATCATAATGAAGTAATGAAATTGGGTTGTTTGCGGATTGCTTAAATAGTTGTAGTTTCATTTTTATACCTGTTATCTGAAATTTTTACCAAGTGGATGGGTACTTAAGGGGGTTAGGTTTTTTATAAGTCTTTAGTGGGACACTCATCAAGACTGCACATTGTAGTCGAAATACGTATGGATACCAAAATTAATTACGAAAAGTCGCCATGGTACGAAAGCATCTAGTCGACGGTTTTTAAAATTGCAGCTATTGTTTGCCTCTACCGCTGTCTGTACTCCTGTCATCGTAAACATAACGATCTTAAGGAGACACGGGTAGTAAGCTCCCATCTAGAGTTATGTACTTTAACCAATCATGTTTTTATTTATGTCTGTCGAAGATGTACTGATTATCGAACCAATTTGAACTGTCAAAATCGAACCAGGTTTTACTGTTATTTTAGGAAGCAAACAGATAGACTGTTATTTTAGGAAGCAAACAGACAGTACCTATGGAAATCTGAGTGAAAAGTCAACCGTTATTTTTTTTCGGAAATAACTTCATAATTATGAGACAAATGTCAGGGATTGGGAAAATCTTACGTCGTCATGGATTTACATGGATTTAATTTTCAACTTTGCATGTTTTTCAAACGACATCAAATGAATGAATTGATCAGCATTAAAGCAAATCAATTGAAACTTCCGGTGAAAAAAATTGTGTTTTGCTGCTATATAAACCGACTAAAAATGTGAACTTGTTTCCGATAAAAACAACGGTTTCCTTTGAAGTGTTTTTTTTTTCCTGTTACCGTGGACCCCCGTTAATCTGAACGACACTTCGCACATGTTAACAGGGTTCATTTTTAATTTGATTTTCTCGTAGCCCCATCAGAAAACCGAGTTTCTGGTAGCCCTATTTGCTGTTTTGTTTTGATTCTGCGTTCCGTTTAGGATTGTTCCATTTCACTTTACTCCATGCCATGTGCAAAATGACGGTTGAGCAATTTTTAGTTTACACGGCGTGCAGTTTAGCGGGGTTCAAACTAAAAAGTGTTCAGATTAAAAACGGTCAGATTACTGGGGGTTCACGGTAGTGTAACAACTAGACCATATTGGCACAGCATAAAGCAAGGCCGGCCTGAAAACATGGATTTCCTGTTTATAAGAGGATACAAACAATAGTACAATAGTTCACTAGACTTGAATCGTCAGGGCGGGATTTATGTTTCATTTTGATTACTTGGACTGGCACAACTCCAAGTAATATAGTGAATTCATCTTAGATCTGATCCAGGGATTCTCCACTGGGCAGACCTTTCAAGACAACCTTGAACAGACGTTCAGTTTTGGTGTCGTAAGTAAACAAAATGTGTTGCTTCTCACTTCTTAGTAAGATACTTGAGAAGACGTTTGAATCCGTTCAAGACACTTTTGAGGAGTCCAGTTTCAAATGCAAAATACAATACATTTATTTAGCTAAATTACAATATTTTCCTATGATGCAGGCTTTCAATACCGATTTATTATAGACGTTGAAAAATAACGGTTAATCAACGTATGTTTTATTTGGGTGCTGCTTAAAATATCTGTACGGCAGCTTGTAATACTACTTCCAGAAGTTTTCTGTACAGTACGTATCTACACAGAGGTATGGAAGGTCAGTGGGTTTACGGGTTTACGACGCGTAGCCCGAGTAAAGTCCAACAAGAAAATTATAGCAAATGGATATTCATTTTTGATGTCAACATCAAATTGAAATTAAAATTTAATTTCAGTTTACGATGAAATTAAATTTTGTTTTAATGTTGTGTTTTTTACAGCAAATTAACGACTGAAAATGTTGTAGCAGTTTTTTTTTTCGTTGCTGGAACATCAAAATGAATACTCGTTTTGCTATGAACAGAAAAATGTACAACAAATTTAGTTTTCACTTTGCTCTCACTGATAGCAGGATGATGTTTTTGCCCTCAATTTTGATATTACATTTCAACTTGTATTAGGTCCTAAGTAACATTGATCGTTTCTCTTTGTCGACTTTCTCTTTCGTTAATAACATGAGCACATAACCGTTTCTTGTTGTGTTCGTCGTATTAGATGCTAGATGAAAGCTTCTATCTGTGTGCTGAAAATACCTGAGAATGTCTTTACATGGCCGTGGAGATACAAAGAGAAAGTCGACGAAGAGAATCTGTCAATGTTACTTACGACCTAATGCAATGTTCAGCTTGATTTTAACCATAACCGTTAACACGACCAAAATTTGCCAGCGCCGGTGGTGTAGTGGTAAACATGACTGCTCCTCACCCCAATGAGTCTGGGTTCAATCCGAGGTACTCGCTTGCGGAACAGAAACCGACTTTAAATAAAGGAATTAAGATAACTCACTAACAAAATTACAGCAACCTGAGTCGTCATGCTTAGCTACGTCACAACATCAAATTTAGTTTTCAATTTGATCTCAGACTTTACTCGGGAGGAGCATTGCATCTGAAAACCACTGCGTCCCGCACCAGGGAGTTTGTGTTTTATCTTTTATCGCTTTGGATGTAATATTTGGACTGCCTTCGGATTTACTGTAATGCTGCAACGAAGGCAAATAAATTAAATGTTGCAATTAGATTAGACTTAATGGACATTGGGGCATTTAGGTTTTTATTTTTTGTTAGGGGCGGTTTCCAGAAAATTTCATCGCTTAATTACAACTCACAAAAAATAATCATAAGAAGTAATTAACAACCCATTTTGGTTATCATCCCAACGTTATGTGATATGGTTGCACCATATATGATACCGTTAATGTATTGTACTCGTTAATAATAATTTCAGATTAAAACGGAATATTGTACATACATTGCGCAAATTTTAAATATTGTACTTGTTGGGACAATCGGCTTTATTTCCCTTTTGAAGAAAGGCGTGATCAAAGATGTTATGCCTCAGAACATCCCGGCGGCGCCGACTGGGATTGAACCCAGGCCTGCTGGGGTGAGAGGTAACCACGCTTACCACTACACCACCGGCGCCGCTTGTATTGAACCTTTGTAACAGAACGGTTACAATATACTTCTCAATACACATCATAAAGGTATGCCTATGGGATATACACCGCATTATAATATTAACTGCTTTATTGATTTCATTAGAATATGTTTATGTTTGCTTAAAACTAAAACAGTGTCCAAAGAAGGCCGCCACGACGATACCCATTTTTTCGATAAACAAACGCGAAAAGCTACGTAATTTTTTTCGACTATCCGCAGTGTAAAAAATTCAAACTGCGGATAATCGAGTCCGACCTGTGCTTATTTGAATGTACAATATTGTTTTAGCATTTATACCCCTTTCGTTCAACCCAATTCCGATATTAATCAAAAGCATTCTATGAGAGGCATGCCCCTTTCATATGACAACTTCATCAAATATTTGGAAATCTACGTCGACTGAAATAATTATTTGTAATTTAAAGTTGATTACCGACATGTATCCTACTCCAACATCCCCCACAGCTACGCCGATATTTGAATGTTACAAAGAAAAGAATCAAGTATGCATCACTTATCTTCAACATTGCCAAATATTAGTCAGAATGTTGCATATGGAAGTGTTGATAAGCTCTCGTATAAATATTGCATACACCTACGTTGTGGTGCCATTCAGACTTCAACCGGCATATACAGCGAGTCAGGAAAATGAGTGTTATCTCTCAAAACTGGTTATTCGCGAAAAAGTTCGAAGGAGAACCCAAGAATGAAGACTTTCGATTGATCGAGGAAGAACTACCACCTCTTCAGGATGGAGAATTTCTTGCTCGGGCAGAGTATCTCAGTGTGGATCCCTACATGCGGCGATACATGATGAACCTTCCTGAAGGAAGTGTGATGGTCGGTGGACAAATAGCGAAAGTAGTGGAGAGTAAGCATGCTGCCTATCCCGTTGGAGTGAGGATTTTCGGTCACTTCGGTTGGCGGACATATACCTTGTACAATCCGGACAAAGCAAAAGAAATCGAAAGAAAACCACATGTGTTGTTTGATTTCGGCTCACTTCCATCCAGCTTGGGACTCGGTGTTCTGGGGTTACCAGGGAATACGGCTTATTTTGGATTCTTGGAGCTATGTGCCCCAAAGGAAGGAGAAACGGTGGTAGTTAGTGGAGCAGCAGGCGCCGTAGGGAATGTTGTAGGCCAGATTGCAAAACTCAAAGGATGCCATGTTATTGGTATTGCTGGATCTGATGACAAGTGCCAGTGGTTGAAGAAGCTCGGCTTTGATCATGCCGTTAACTATAAGTCAGAGCATTTTCTCGAAGAATTGAAGAAAGCCGCACCTAAAGGAATCGATTGTTATTTCGATAATGTTGGTGGCACCATAACGGAGTCGGTTATACGGCTCATGAACTTATATGGTAGAATTTCCGCTTGCGGCTCTGTTTCAAATTACAGCAGTGGTCCGGTTAAGGTACAAGATCCACAGCATGATTTTGTGATCAAACAATTGAAAATGGAAGGATTTATTGTCAGCCGATGGCGAGACCGGTGGATGGAAGGCATTCGAGCCAATTTGGACTGGATAAAACAAGGAAAACTTCAATACGAGGAAACAGTTACAGTTGGATTTAAAAACATGCCGAAGGCGTTCATGGATATGCTGAAAGGCGGTAACACAGGCAAAGCCATAGTAAAAGTAGATAATCATAGTAAAAAAGGGTAACTAGATATGATTAAAATGCACGGCCTACTTCTCTTATCATAATCTAAGTGTGTGATGAGAAGATTTTCTACCATTCCATAGAATCAGACAACCACCAATCGTGACTATCTATGTGCCACACTAGATTTTATAAATCCATTCCTAAATGGACAAGATCAAATGCGATAACATTCTTCTTCTTCAATAATAAAGCTACACGGTTCAAATTATTCATTAATTTATCCGAAGGGAGGTTTGTAGCATATTACACCTTAGTATGACCACGTTAGTGCTATTAAAGTAACATGTCTTTAACATACCTTGCGCTTGCCATCCAATGCTGGTTGGTTTGTCACCAGAAGAAGGATTCGGTACTCGACACTCGGAAGAGACGCTACCGGATTTTCCACATCGTGGGAGGTTTACATTACGTTGGACAAATGAAGCTGAACATTGCATTAGGTCCTAAGTAACATTGAGGGCCTTATTACGAGTGTCACTTCACGGTGAAAACGAAGTGAAGTGACCAGTTGTCACTCACGGTGAAGTGATTGCCGTGTAAATCAAATGGGAATCACTTCACCGTAAGTGAGAAGTTGTCACTTCACCGTGAAGTGACATCGGTAATAAGGGCCAACAAGAAACGGTTATGTGCTCAAATTATTAACGAAAGAGAAAGTCGACGAAGAGAATCTCTCAGGCCCTTATTACCGATGTCACTTCACGGTGAAGTGACAACTTCTCACTCACGGTGAAGTGATTCCCATTTGATTTACACGGCAATCACTTCATTGTGAGTGACAACTGGTCACTTCACTTCGTTTTCACCGTGAAGTGACACTCGTAATAAGGCCCGTTGTGTTTGTCGATCTGTGTGCCGAAAATACCTGGGAATGTCATTACATGGACGTGGAGATATAAAGAGTAAGTCTACGAAGAGAATAGGACCTAATGCAATGTTCAGTTTGAATTAAGGTGTGTGAGCCAGTAGTGGAGGAACTAAGACAATTTAGAAAAATATTACAGCGTTATTGAATTTTATAGATTTTTCGAAAACTTGTCCTCCATTAATATGGACACTGTTCCAGTAGAAGTAGTAGTTGTTAACTTTGGTTCCTATAATAGTGGAACGCATTGGTTTATTATAGCTTCCACTAGAGAGGGTCTAGTATAAGAGAGGAGGATTCAAAACAACCTACCTTGGCAACATATGCCTAAGGGGCTTCCCTAATAAAAATTGTATGGTTAATTTGCTTAACGACGTGTTCTGGGTATCATCCAAACCATTTGTGGAATAGTTCAATGATTTTGGTTATCGTTCGTTTATGGTTATTTTTTATTAGGGTTATTACGGATGTCACTTCACGGTGAAAACTTGTCAATTGTTGTCACGGTGAAGTGATTCCCATTTGATTTGTACGGCAATCACGGCTCTTATTCTGAGTATCACTTCCTTACCACCGTGTAATAAGGCCCTAAATGACTTCTAGCAACACTGTCAATGCAATCAAGATAGTCGCTGGCCGATTGGCTCTGGCTTTGACAGTTCGTTTGGCTCATAACGAGCCAGTCTGCTCCTCTCTTATAATAGACCCTCTCTAGGTTCCACTATTATAGGAACTACCGCAACTATAGGTGTAAAGGAGTCAAAATCTTAAGAAAAGCAATTGTTTTTGGCTATTTGTGGGCTAATTTTAAGCATAAAATATGTAAATCTGCCGTAAATCTGTAAACCGTATCCGTTGTTAACTCATTATTCCGGCACATCCCCCATACCGTAACTATAGGTACACCAGTATTACCAACAATCAATACGAAACTAACGATTTTAAATTGGCTCACTACTTGACTAGCCTATTGGTCCTAAGCAAACGATTAACGTACCCCATTCTAGTCGAAATTCTAGTACTACGAAATGTTTGTTTTGATTCGCTATGAAAGTTTTTTCCTATGTTTCGAGGGGTGAATCGATTAGCTTGGGACCGAAGAGAGTACCAGATGTGAGCCAAAAAGTTGAGCACGTTTCTTCGGGTCCTTCTAGTCTTAGAGTTGCCTCTATGATATTACTGAAACACCTACCCTAATTGAATAGTGTACTGCCTATAATCCCATATCAGTCTCATATGGATAAAGTAGGCATTGAGAAAATGGCAGTAGAAGTTAAAATGTGCAATTTACATGTAAATATTTTAAAAAACATAATAAATTAATCGATGATTTTGTATAGTAAAAATCAGTAGCAATGCAGCTAGCATGGTTTGTTATAAACTAAAAATATGGCGATTCAAAAAGCAGAAGTGTAACTCAGCTTCTGGACGATTTAATTCCAAGATGGGACTGATATGCAATTATTTTGATTGATGGGACAAACTGACTTGATGTTGTTTTCAAACTTTTCATGATTAAAATCCGTAGTTTTATCACGTAATATGAAAGTAGATGCCAATTGATAGTGGATAGCGTTATTATCTTAAAATTGACGATAATACATAAGGGATTGATATGCTGATAGGCGTGTAGTGCTCTCAAACTCAGCCTAAGCAGTCAATAATTTTACGCTCTAATACTTGTTATTAAAAGCACATTTATTGTTATAAAGTACACAGTTAAGGTCCGTTTAGACTATCTGATTTCTTGGTCTGATTTGCTTTTATTATTTTAAATAAAATGAGAAGGAGAAAGTGTAGAGTAGGGAATGGTTGCTCAGGAGGAACACCGGCAGGGATCTGGCTCATCTTGTCCTTCAAGAGCTGCGATATAAAGGGAAGCCAGGATGTCGATACCAACTTTCGACAAGCTAGTGAGAAAAGTTCCCTATAGATCTACATGATTCCTTGAGTTCTGAAAGTTTCTGTTAAGAATTCAATTGTGCTTATTTCTTTGAAGACCTTCGAACGTCCCTGAAGTTTTGTTTCTGTTCTCTGATAAAATATCTTTAAAGATCAACAGTCTTTCCTGAAGATTCTCGGTAGTTCTTCATATTTCTTTAAAGTTCTATGTGTTCTTCAGAAGTTCTGCAAATTTTCCTAAAAATCTACAAAGTTCCTGAATCCCTGCAGATTTAAGATCCTTAAAGATCAACAATTATCTCTGATGTTCACAAAATTTCTAATAATCTACGAACTTCTCAAAATTTCAGTAATTTTCTCTGTAGATTTTCTTGATTCAATGAACATCTGCAAATATCTCTGAACATCTACACAATTTCTTAAAGAATTTAAAAAAAAATATCTCGAAAATGTTGAGCTTTCCGGAAGTTTAAGGAAGTTTTCTGAAGTTTTACTAATTTTTCTGAAGTTGTGCAAATATCTCTAAATATCTCTAAAGATCAACGAGCTTACATGAAGTTCTGTTAATTTCTCTTAAAATTCAAGAACTTCAATAAAATTCTGAAATTTTATTTAAACATCTGCAGATTTTTCAGTAGATTTACGATCTACCCTCTGAACTTTTCCCAAGTTCTTAAAAATTCTTACAAATTCTGTAAAGTTTTCTGGAGAGCTGTATTTCCATTAAGTTCAATAATTTTCCCAGTTGATCTCTGAACTTCTTCTGGATTCTTGCATTTCCATAAAGTTCTGCAGATTTATCAAAAATTCTTGGAAGTTCCCCAAAGCTCTACAAATTATCTGAAAATATTTGAACTTCGCTCAAGTTTTAAAAATTTATCTGAAGATTTACGAATATCTCTGAAGTTGTGTAAATACTTCTAAAGATCGGCGAGCTTTCCCGAAGTTCTGTGAGTTTTGCTGAAGTTTTGCAAATTTTTCTAAAAACGTGCGAACTTTCTGATGTTCTACAGACTTCTCTTAAGGTCTACGGACTTCTCTGAAGTTCTTCAGATCTATCTATTTCCAACTTCCATGGAGTTCTGCAAAATATTGTACTTTTGTACTTCGCTGCGATTTGTTTTTGTGATTGAGAAACTTTTCTGACATTTCTGGATCAACAATAGAAAAGGGCCCATCAGCATTTGTAAACAAACCGTTACAAAGGCCATTCCTCACAAATAGAAGGCCGCCCACACAAACCAACACCACCATCGTGTAGTTACAAGTTTCCCCTATCCGATGATGGTATTGGTTTGCGTGGGTGGCCTTCGCTTTGTGAGTAAAGGGCTTTGGGACGGTTTGTTTACAAATGATGATGGGCCCTTTTCTATTGTTGGTCCAGATTTAACGAATTTTTCTGAAGATCTCACATTTTTCTGAAACTGTGAAGCTTTCTGAAAAATTCCTGCAAATATCTTTAAAGTTCTGTAAAGTTGTCTGAAGCTCCGTAGTTCTGTTCTCAAGATCTACGAAAAAAAATCTCAGTAGATCTGCAAACTTCACTGAAGTTTTGTAAATTCCTCTGTAGGCTCTCAGGCTACCCTGAAGATCTGAAAAATTCCCTGATGATCTTCTAAATTACCTAAGTTCTCAGAATTTATCTGAAAGTATTTGAGCTTCCTTGCAGTTTTAAATGTCTTTCTCAAGTTCTACACATTTCCCTGAAATCGTATGAATATTTTTTTTAAATCGCCGAACTTCTCTGAAGGTCCATAAAAAAACTTTGAGATTCTAAAAATGTATCAGAACATCTGCAAGTTCTGTAACTTTGTTTCAAAGTTCTGCAGCTTTGTTCTGAAGATCTACGAACTTTTCTGATGTTGAATAATTTTTCAGTAGATTTCCAAACTTCTGTGAAATACATTATATTTTACTGTGGATTTTTGGACTTGTCAGAAGTTATGTGAATTTCCCTGAAGATTTGCAAAATTTCGCGTAAGTTTTACAAATTGATTTGAAAATATTTTAGCTTGCTTAAAGTTTTGAAAATTTATTTGAACATTTACCTGAAGATCTACGATCCCTCTTGTGAACTTTTTTTTTATGAATTTCTGTAAATTTCTTTTAACTTCTGTAAAATTGTCTGAAGTTTTGTAGTTCTGTTCTCAAGATCTACGAACTACCCTGAAACTCAAAATTTCTCAGAAGATCTCCGAACCTAGTAGGCTTTCAGACCTGCTGTCTGGCATGCTTATTC